ATTTTATAGCTAATTTATTTGCTAATTGGAAGGTATTTATAACGAAAAGTCTTATGACAAAAAATTATTTTTCAAAATAACACAATGAAGTTGAAGAATTCTAAAAAAATATTTCAAGTGACTTATTATGTGTTAGTATATGTATGTAATAAGCAGTTATTGATTGCTTAAAAGATATTTTTTCAAGTCATAATTTTTGACAGCAAAAATAAATAAAGTAGACAGAAAATTTTTATAGTCATTCAATAATAACTTTTTGTGGATATTCTTCTACCATTACCCACTGACTCACCAAAAATAAGACCAAACAAAACTATACGTAAATCTCAGTTGGACAGTATTTGATCTGTAATACACAATTACCAAATATGAGTTTGATTGTTTCATTTGTGGCACTTTTGTACTCGACGATTTATTTTCAAATTATGATCCAGTACCAATATTTATATTTGATTATAAAAATCTAGAAAATATATATTAGCATTGGATCAACAATTGCGAAATAGCAATAAAACAAAATAAAATATTTGAAAGACACAAGCATGTTTGAGAAAAACATCGCATCTTGTGGAACTAGTGACACAACAAAACAACATCTCGCAAAACAAACGATAAAAATTTCAGTGCATAATAATTATACAAAAGCAGTGCGCATTTCTTCGTTGTATACTTGTTTCTCCCAAACTTCAGTTTTGCTAAAGTGATGCTCTGGAAAAAACAAGAAAAAAAAAGGACAAATACGGAAAACCAAATAAATTAGACGGCCAGTCTTTGCAAGAGTGCATAAATAATTCAACGTCGCCCGTCTACAGGATAAGTATACCTACAGACTGTAGGACGAGCCGAGCGCGCTTCAGCGACGTGGCATCGATACATATTACCTCTGGATATTCGTACACGGACCTCCTGTACAATATGCAATGACTACTGTGTAAACATGTACACATGTGTACACTGAAATATATGTATATAAACGCGTTACTGTTTACCGCCTGTGTAAAAGGTTCATACCGAATCGTGGAATATTTAATAAGCTGTAAGTTGCCTCTGGATAATAAAGAGTCTGGCCTTCCAAGTCTACCTGATTGATATCCAACGACTTCTGACTAAGTAGGTAATTCATACAAGAATAGTCGGTGATACCCCAGTCCATATTAATAGCGGCGACAAATGGATTTCTTCCGTAACGGTCACCTTTACTAATATCAGCGTTATTGTCCACCAACAAACTAACCGTGAACAACAAATTCTTGTAAACCGCGCGATGTAATGGCGTGCCAACGACGTCGGAGCTAACATTCACATCTACTTTGTTTTCAAGTAATAACTGGACAATATCATGATGGTTAATACTTTCAACCGCGTAGTGCATCAGATTCGCGCCGTTTTTATCGAGCACGTGAAAATTAGTGCCATTATTTATCAGCAGCTTGACCGTTCTGATATCACCGTACAAAAACATCAGAGGATAAACATCACATTGAACTACGGTATGATCTAGCATATACGTGTATACACTTACACACAAAAACGACTCCGAGTGGTTATTTATAAATTGCGGCACTGAACGGCGAGATTATCAAAATCATGAGTCATTTGTCAATGTCAAATCCGCCTCGTATAAAAGAAAAACAGAAGGCAATTCGATGTTCCACGGCATACGCACGTACGCGTGCTTATACTCCCCGAGAAAATTCTTCCCACGTCAATCAGCGATTGAAATACAAAAAAAAAAAAAAAAAAAAAAAAAAAAAAAAAAAAAAAAAAAAANTTTATCGTTTTTCTGATTGATGTCACACATACCGGAACGTAGCAGCTCTTCCAGCCTATCATGGTCTCGATCTCTCACTGCCTTATGTAGAGAATCCATGTCGAAGCTTTGGCCCAACCAAGTTCGGTTCCAGAGGATGATGTACAACGAGACTAAATCCTCGAGAAGCACTTAATTCCGTCGTTTTGCTTCCAAGGACGAGGTGGATTTGTGTAGTTGCCAAGTCTCGTGGTTCGTCTAATCGACACGCATCATATATGGGCACAATATTAATTTAATATTGTAAATAAATTTGAAACATTTATGAATGATTAATAAAGTAATATCGACACGTAGAATTATTGTGTTTACGAGGGATACATTGTTCTATTATTAAGAACCACAAGGAAACTTTAGATTATGGTTTGTGGAATTGATAGATTTTCTTATGGTTATACAAACATGAAGAGAATTACATCTATCTATTCTTAATTACTTCAACAAAAACCTTAAAAACCAAATTTTTAAAGTTTTTACAAAGAATAATGAATTTTGTGTTCTACCATTTACGGATTTAAGAAAAGAAATAATTGATAACAATAGAAAAACTTGGATTAAAAGAAAACCTAACTGATAAATTTGAAGGTGCAATAAAACCGTTGAGAAAATATTGTAGGTACTTACATGTTGTTTGCTCTACGAAGAATATTCGACGACTGAACTCGTGATGTATACCTGCAATCGCTGGTCAAATGTAAACAAAAGCATAAGCTATTCGATACGTACTTTAGGGGTTTCTTATGAAAGTCGAGTGACAAAGTCAAGTACCTTTGTGTTTCTACGTAGAAGTATGTATAAATCATTTACCAGTATTTACATGCAATCATTACATGTTTAGTTGTCGAGTGTTCTTCGTAGCGCTAACTACATGTAAGTAACTACAATATTTTCTCAACTGTTTGATTGCACCTTTAATTTTACGGGCTACAATTTCTATTAATCCAAGTTTTTCTATTGTTATCAATTATTTCTTTTCTTAAATCCGTAAATGGTAGAACACAAAATTCATTATTCTTTGTAAAAACTTTAAAAATTTGGTTTTTAAGGTTTTTGTTGAAGTAATTAAGAATAGATAGATGTAATTCTCTTCATGTTTGTATAACCATAAGAAAAACTATCAATTTCACACACCATAATCTAAATTTAATAATAATAGAACAATGTATCCCTCGTAAACACAATAATTCTACGTGTCGATATTACTTTATTAATCATTCATAAATGTTTCAAATTTATTTACAATATTAAATTAATATTGTGCCCATATATAATGCGTGTCGATTAGACGAACCACGAGACTTGGCAACTACACAAATCCACATCGTCCTTGGAAGCAAAACGACGGAATTAAGTGCTTCTCGAGGATTTAGTCTCGTTGTACATCATCCTCTGGAACCGAACTTGGTTGGGCCAAAGCTTCGACATGGATTCTCTACATAAGGCAGTGAGAGATCGAGACCATGATAGGCTGGAAGAGCTGCTACGTTCCGGTATGTGTGACATCAATCAGAAAAACGATAAAGGAGAGACGCCATTGGAGATAGCGGTGTTTCTCGGGGATTTCTGTGCGACCAAGCTGTTGTTGGACTTTGGCGCCGAGCCCATCCTCCAGGCTGACTCTCTTACGCAAGACACGGGCATACGTGGCGGTAAAACGGTTGTCATTCGGGAGCTCATCAATCGAGGCTGCCACCCAGACCGGATCACCTATCCACCACATCGGGTAACTGACACCATCTGGAACATGGTCATAGAAATGAATGATCCCGAAGTAAGTACCTTTGCACATTTTACGAGTGGCAAGGATGATTTTATTGTAAGGTCGGGAATTTGGATTTTAGCTCCTGCAATGTTTGCTACAAAGTGCCGAGCGAGAAATACATGATGATGATTGGTCCAACGCGTTACTGTTTACCGCCTGTGTAAAAGGTTCATACCGAATCGTGGAATATTTAATAAGCTGTAAGTTGCCTCTGGATAATAAAGATGCAGAGGGTCGATCTGCGTTATTCTATGCAGTGCTAGGTGGTGATATTAGAACGTTCAAGCTGCTCATGGATAATGGCGCGAATTTGCACCAACTCGATAAAAATGGCGCGAATCTGATGCACTACGCGGTTGAAAGTATTAACCATCATGACTTTGTCCAGTTATTACTCGAGAACAATGTAAACGTGAATGTTTGCTCTAAATACAATGGCATGCCGTTGCATCACGCGATTTACAGGAATTGGTTGTTCACGATTAATTCGTTGGTAGAAAACAATGCTAATATAAGTAGGGGGGACTTATACGGAAGAAATCCGTTTGTCGCTGCTATTGATATTGACTGGGGTATCGCTGACTATTCGTGTATGAATTACCTACTTAGTCAGAAGTCGTTGGATATCAATCAGGTAGACTTGGAAGGCCAGACTGCACTCCACCACGCAGTTATAAGGGGAAACGTTATTGTTGTGCAGCAATTACTCTACCACAGAGATACAGAGGTCAATATTCAAGATTATCATGGCAGAACCCCCTTAAATTATGCCATAGATGGTAACTATCTTACGATATTGGAACTCCTGTTGGACTTTGGAGCGAGTGTATCTTGCCTGTACGACTATCCGAGGTATGAATTTTTGAAGACTGACGTCAAGACTTCGCTGATGAAGTACATGATCAAGAGAGAAGTAGCCGACTTGCAGATAGAAAACAGTTTGAGAACAATTTTGTGCGATGAACAGCAAATCAAAAAAGATTGCAAGTACTTCAGGAATGTATGTATCAAGGAGGTTGAGTTGTTGAAGACAATGACAATGGACAACGGCGAGATAACGTATTATCAGTTTTTGCATGGCGACAGGGATAGATTGCATTGGTACACCAACAAGCCTAATATCCGTAGTATTTTCGAGAATCATATGCATTATTTCACTGAATACGTGCACATACTAGGCAGGAATTATATCTTGGGAATAAGATCGATCATCGAGGATGGAATTGAAGTCATTGCGACTGCTAGAGATAGTATTCACAATACCACTGACATGACAAGTTCGAATAAAGTACTGGCGAGCCATGAATCGATGGACAGCGATGAAGATGACATGGACGATGATGATGATGACGGCATCACATTATTATTGTATTAAATACTGTGGATCTCTTCTTAACGAAGATTTACATCATATCACTAACATAAACAACACTAGTTATATTGGTGTTATTAGTTTGTACTCTTCATTAGTATACTTTACCAACAAAATTAGTGTTACATTTGTCATCAATATGATATTTTTTATAAATTATGTTTTAGAGCCCAGCTTGTAGAAGTAGGTGGACCGCAATTATTTCGTTAATTTTTAGTAAGTTTTATATATAAATAGTGGTCTATTTAAGTAGGTGAAATGTTACTTTATCGACATTTTAAATGTTACAACTAGGATTGTCACTTGTAATGCGTGACCAAAAGGGAAAGTAGCGTCTTTTTTAAATTTATTTCTAGTCAACGAAAGAACAGTAAAAATTGACAATAGGTATTTCGTGTGATAGAACTTTTAAAGAAATGAAATAACTTTTTTTAATTGTTACTATGTTGTTTGTATGATTTTTCATTGTTATTTACATAAGTAGATAAGTACTTGATTTTTAATTTACAATTGCGAAGATTAGTGTTACGTACTTTTGTAAACAAATATTAGTAAGTTTATAAGTCGATTGCGTATTTAAGTAATATTTTAATTTTATTTGTTTTTATGTTATACGAAATGCTCGATGGACGAGCATGATTATGTAAATTTGTGACTCTGACGATGTAAATGCTGTTACATCATTAGTTCAAGAGAATTAATTTTCAAGCGAAAGTATTTTTTTTTTTAAGTCAGTTTATCTGTAATTTTAAACACAAGTATATGCTGTATTTAAATCATAGGGACTTTAGCACTTTTTTATTGTATGTTATAATTTTGCGCATTTATTTGCTAATTGGAAGGTATTTATAACGAAAAGTCTTATGACAAAAAATTATTTTTCAAAATAACACAATGAAGTTGAAGAATTCTAAAAAAATATTTCAAGTGACTTATTATGTGTTAGTATATGTATGTAATAAGCAGTTATTGATTGCTTAAAAGATATTTTTTCAAGTCATAATTTTTGACAGCAAAAATAAATAAAGTAGACAGAAAATTTTTATAGTCATTCAATAATAACTTTTTGTGGATATTCTTCTACCATTACCCACTGACTCACCAAAAATAAGACCAAACAAAACTATACGTAAATCTCAGTTGGACAGTATTTGATCTGTAATACACAATTACCAAATATGAGTTTGATTGTTTCATTTGTGGCACTTTTGTACTCGACGATTTATTTTCAAATTATGATCCAGTACCAATATTTATATTTGATTATAAAAATCTAGAAAATATATATTAGCATTGGATCAACAATTGCGAAATAGCAATAAAACAAAATAAAATATTTGAAAGACACAAGCATGTTTGAGAAAAACATCGCATCTTGTGGAACTAGTGACACAACAAAACAACATCTCGCAAAACAAACGATAAAAATTTCAGTGCATAATAATTATACAAAAGCAGTGCGCATTTCTTCGTTGTATACTTGTTTCTCCCAAACTTCAGTTTTGCTAAAGTGATGCTCTGGAAAAAACAAGAAAAAAAAAGGACAAATACGGAAAACCAAATAAATTAGACGGCCAGTCTTTGCAAGAGTGCATAAATAATTCAACGTCGCCCGTCTACAGGATAAGTATACCTACAGACTGTAGGACGAGCCGAGCGCGCTTCAGCGACGTGGCATCGATACATATTACCTCTGGATATTCGTACACGGACCTCCTGTACAATATGCAATGACTACTGTGTAAACATGTACACATGTGTACACTGAAATATATGTATATATATATATTATATTTAATAAACAAGTACCCAGTAAATTATCCAAAGCAAACGCGGAAATGCTACATACACGTACAGCGGAGAAGCGCGGAGTTCCTAAAGCATAACGTACCCGTTAAATGCATTATCATCATATATGTACAGTCTCGAGGCTTTCGTATATAACTTATGGCTACGCGCTTGCTCCATATATTGTAAAGAAGGAGGTTCTACGACCATACCCGAGGAAACAGAATCTTATAATGACGAAAGGGCAGGCGTGTTGACAACAAGTCATCTGTATCCTAATGTGCTCGCGAAGAATAAAAGACCCGAGTAGTACAAATCGTTTTGTTACATCCGTATATACGTATAAACAAATCGACATATGGATATAAGTTGAAATAAACTCGGACGTGCAACCATTAATCAATGAATACGGGACTCAATGGCAGGTATGCGTGTATATAATAGACATGTTTTGCGCGTAGCTGCTGGCAGGTTAAACAATGCAAAAAGATTACGGGCTTTGGGCTATCGGCCAGCCGTGACTCCCGTGTATCCTTTCGCTTCCTCATCGTGACTACACGCGTGCACCGCACACTAATGGCATTAAGGGTAAAATCCTTCGATCGTAGGTAATGGGGTATAAAAATTTTTCGCTCGACTCAAAGACACCGAAAAGGGTTGGTAATGTACGGGGTGGAGGTGCCATTTTTTCTTGTTGCTAACATTTTAGATGTTCCTGGAAAGAAAACTTGTATTTTAAATATACAAAGAAAAAAAGTCCAGATGAATCTCCACCATCGTCGAAAAGAAGCAAACAAAAAAAATGGTCCGTACCTTTTTCCACCAAAGGCGGTAACGTCAACACAGGGCGTGCACCCAGATATAGGTGTTCCCAAGTTCGCGGTGACAGTCCAGAGAGTCGCATTGCTCCACCCGCGGCGCGTTGACAAAAGCGAGACAGCCGCAACGGTGGGGGAGTGCCATTATATATATATATACAGCCTCCCAGTCCATGGAGGGTGGAGGGAAGGAAGCCCCGTCCGCGGATGTACAGGGAAAAAGGGGAAGGGAGGCAACTGCGAACGGGAGGGAGAACTGTCACTCGGATTATACTTATATAAGGCGGGGGTCGGCGAATCAGGTGTCTCCGTGGCCGTGTGTACACATGACCCCGGGAAGTACGGCGGCTACAACAGGGAGGAGGAGGAGGAGGAGAGGCGCGCAAGCGCCCCTGTGAGAGAAATACCCGTGGCTCTATCTCCGTGCGTAAATATGTATATATACACGACGCGCACACCTTGACTATCAGGTTACCCTGGACGACTCGAGCTTTTCCGGTGTACGTGAGGAAGGATGGCCCGGGCTGGCCAAGCGCGACCGAGCTCGACCCCCGCGTCCTTCTTCTTCGCAGGTTCTGTCCTTCTCTCTGGGCTGTACCCCCACCCACCTGTACGCCCCGGAGACTGGACACACCGACGACGACGACCATTGATCCAAAAGCAGCCTGGTCTCTCGGCTCCGCTGCGTGTGCTGTATATCCTCGTGGAAGCCAACGCACACACACCCCTCTTTTTTGCTTCCTCCCACGTTGGTTGCATGGACAGAATGTACAGCCGGTCGCTGCACCGGGAGGCTCGGGGGCTTTTCTTTTTCCGAGAGGCAAAAAGCGCGAGTCGATAATCTCGGGAGAGGGCGGGCGGCCCAAAGACACCGACAAGTTTGCTCTGGCCATTATATGTATATATAATAGATATATGGTCGAAAAGTTTGCACAACTTGTTATTTCCGTATAGTTATTGGAGGATGGGCTAGTTTGCTCGCTGCGGTGATTATACTTAGGACAAGTAATGTATACGTAAGAAGTTTTTTTTTTTTTTTTTTTATTGATTGCGACGCGAGTAAAAAAATGGCACGTCAAAAAGTTCCATTTTTTTTCCATCCGCATCCCTTAGGGTACCGAAGACACCGAGGCTCTTATCCCATTGATTAAACTATGCAGGTTCCCTGCCGCCGTTTCAACTGCAGCCGAAACTTTTCCCCGCTCCTGCAGCCATTATATATTTCCTGTTACGTATGCACTGGTCTCGAAGACCAACAGGCTCGCGCTACTATTTTTTTTTTTTTTCCTCTTCCTCCTCCGCCTCATTTTCCGCGGTATCGAATTTTCATGCGGTTTCCAAAGAATACGTGTACTCCCGCCGCGGAGCGAAAGAAAAGTTGCACGGGCCGTCGAGAGCCCCCGCAGACCCGCGGAGTTGGTAATTATTATCCCGAGGCAGCTTCGAGAAAAGTGCAAAAGTTCGCGGGACCCGCGCAAAGGCATTAATATTGATGGACGAAGGGAGAGGAAGAAAAAAAAAAAAAGCCCCACATGCCTCGAGATCTTTTTAAAAAAAAACGAGAGCAACAAACGACTCGGCCACTTTTTCCATTAAAAGCCCCGGAGATGAAAATTGAGCGATCAATAAGACAACCCCCCCCCCCCCACCCTGCCCTCGATATCTTCATCGGGGCGAGGAGGAAAAGTACCGAGTCACCGCGCTACCACCACGTGTGAACCAAAAGAGACCCGTGCACCGACGACTATTAATTAACGGGTGGTGCTCGCTCGCGCCCCCACCTTTTCGGGGAAGAAGAATAAACTCGCAGTCGCCCCGTCTATCGATACGAGTAGCGAGGCCTCCCCCCCTATGAAAATCGGTACTGTAATTTATAAAAAGAAGAAGAAGAAAATGAGAAAGCTCGGTGCACTGTACTTGTTATCGCGTAACAAAAGAGAGAGAGAAATAGAGAGAGTGGTCCCTTAGCTCGGAGTGACTATCGATTCTGCACTTCTGCGTGCATGCAGCCAGCACACACGCGTATATACACGTATATAGAGCTGGAAGAAGCAGAGGGGCGCGGGCTGAAAGGGAGGGAGAGGAGGCTACTCTCGACGGAGTGACCCGGGGAAAAAGGGTCGACCGGGGTGGCTATATGCACTGTCTCTTTCTCTCTTTTACTTTCTTGTGGAACGACAGGGGGTGGTAGGGAGGGGTCTTGATATATTGCCCTACTCCGTGTGCTCTCGCCTATATACCTATGATTCTTCTTCTTTGCTCTTTTACGAGCTGCTCTCTCGATCTTGATGGCTTCAAGCTCGCTGTATACCTCATTATTGGCTTTTTTCAGATCAAGCTTGGACAGTATGCGCTGGGCTTAAAGTTGGCGCATTTTTTGGGGGGATCGTGTACGAGTTGACGATCACGTCGGATCTATCTCAAGAATTCGGAGGACTCGCGAGCTTTCAATGACAATGTACAGTGAACCTGCAAGCTCAAGGAACTGACAGTTGGCGCTTGTGTAAATTTTCTTACCCATCACCCATGCGATTCAAACAAAATCTAGAGTCACTTCTGTACATCTGTATTACACTCTTTATGTTTATATTATATTTTGTTTCGTTATGTCTCGTCAGAGGCGTACTTGTACCGAATGCCAGGTTGGCACCGTAAGATTCACCGCCACCTCCCAGCAACGAGCCTCTCCCTCTTTGTGCGTCATTGATATAGGGTGTAGGTACGTATATATTATATGGCTGTGTAATGTACAACGCGAGCATGTAAAACCAGGAAAGAAAATAAATTATATGTGTGTGTGTGTGTACCTATTACTTCCATGTACGCCCGGAGTAAAAAGGCTATTTCTAGGCGAAATTGCTGGCCGATGCTCGTGGATGGCTGATAATTAAGAGATTAAGCTCGGGATCAAGGACTCTGATAGCGGTGTCGCTGTTTGTTCTCGGATGTTTGAATGTTTTATTTTTCGTGCCATCCGCAGAGTGTTGTTTTTTTTTTTTTTTTTTTTGTTTCATTTTTCGGATAGAATTGCTCCGACGCGCTCAAAATCTCGCGAGCTGCAATCATGTGATGTGTTCAGGGCAGCTTTTTTCCAAACTAAAACTCGAAAGGTCGAAAAAAAAAATTCAACGATCGGTAAGAATCTCTCACCCGGGGGTGTTTTGAATTTTCCTCGATTTTTCGCACCTCATTTCTCCCCAAGGCACCTCCCACCCCGAAAAACCTTCCCAAGTGCAGATGAATGAATGGACCCGAGACAGCTCTGCATTACCACATCAATGAAAATACCAGAAGCCGGAGGAACGGAGCAAAAGATAATGAGCCCAGGGCCGGTAACGAGAGGGATACGAGATCTGACTCTAGCCGCGGAGTATCCCCGCAACGGCCCAACGATGAGTCAGTGGAGGAAAAAAAAAAAAAATGGGGTGTGCAGGTACAGGACGAGAGAGACAAACACAGATGTGTGTAATACGGGACGAGGAGGAGGAGGATATACGTATCGACCTGCATGCACGCGCAGCCGAGCCAAGGATCAATTTCACACGATACACAAGCTCCGGTGTATGTATAACACACGCGCGGACTTTCTCACGCTGCGAAACCACAAGGTATAGGTATATTATATACTGCAGTGGGCACGTACGCGTGAGTCCCAATAGTCGTGTGTTTAACTGCTTCTTCTTCTCTTTTGACGTACATATTTATACCAGTAGCAGCAAAGCATCAGAATCCGTGCACGGGCTCCGGGGTGTATGGGTATACGCATACAGTGATTTTATTTGCCCCGGAGTCCTTAAAACCTCGGAGCTGTGGAACAGCGGCTGCTTCTTCTCCTTTTGCCGTGGAATGTGGAAAAGTACATATACATAATATTATACCCGTACGCATCGCGTACCTCATATTATATATATACATACGCTGCGTGTGTGTCTCCCATGTACCGTGGCGCGTTGTTATATACATTGCGTGAGAGGCTCGTTGGTAATTTTCTCGCTGGCTTTTTCATTCTCGTCGACGCGATAAAGACACACATACGTGTGGTCGATGAATCAGTTGGCGTGTCAACAAGAAGTGTGGCATTGGGGGGTGGTTCCGTCGCGTAGCCAGATAAGTACTACAACTACCCTTGTAACTAGTACACACATAAATATATATACCCTTGAAATCACTGAAATTCCAAGAAAAGTCTGATCCTCCACGCGACAGTGTAAAAAATAATGCCCAAAGGGCCATTGGAACCCAAAGAGATCCGCTTGCCTGTAACAATATGTAACGGCGCGTCAGCTTTGACACTATGGGGCACGCTCATGGACAAATACGAGACTTTCGCTTCGGAGGATCCCGTAAACTCTTTTTTTTTTTTCTTTTTTTTTTTTTTTAAATAAATGCAGAAACAAGAGCAAAGAGGGGGGGGGAAAAGACAGGTAGCAAGCCTGCGGACGACATTAGCGTGATAAAGCTCTCAAAGTGGGCCGCGAGGCGCACGCGAAGGGAAGCCGCACCGGCCCAGCGGGAAGATCTTATGGTAATCCCGAGGACGGCGCCCGTGGGCTGGAACAGTAACCAACAGCCACCAAGAGCCTTTACTTAGAAACAACTCGTGTGTGGGGGTGGGGGGAGGAGAGAAGAAAAAAAAAAAAGTTGCTCTCGTTACAGCCGCGGCGGCTTGGTAGGCCCATAAATCTCGGCCGCTGCTTTTCTAAACTTAATCTGCGCGCGAGCGCAACCTCCTCCTCCCGCTTCTTCTTCTTCTTATCGTCCCTCGAAGAAAACAACGTCCTCACCCATAGGAGGTGGCAGGTGCTATCTACGTGGGTACATACAGCCCTTGACTGCACAAGCATTGGCTGTATTTATACGTACCTATATATATAACAAACGCGGGGAGGGGAGGGCGAATTTTCATAATTTCTCTCTCCACCTGCACTCGGTGCAGCCGTTTTTTTTTTTTTTTTTTTTTTTTCCTCTGATCCTGAGAGGGTTGTTGTATACGTGGGAGTTGAATTGATTTTTGTTTTTTATTTCTAACCTTCGTCGCATCCGTGACCCGCGGTTTTTTCACTCGACGAACTGACTTTTGGCCTCGCTGGTTGAACAACAGTTTTTTTCCTCATCGAGTAGAGCCATAGGACAGAAATGACACATCGTACGTAAATTTATCACTAAATTATCCTAATAATGGCCATGTCATCGACTTGATGGACTTTTTTTCCTGTAGTACTTAAAAAGTTTTTGTTTGTTTATTTATTTTTTTTTTTTTATCCATTATTGAAGCAAAAAAAAATTCATTGTTAAATTAAAAAAAAAAAAAAAAACAAATACTCTCAATTATGGAAGATGACTGACAGTGGATGTAGCTTCAGAAAATTTGAGTAGAGAGAAATACTGATTTTTGAAGGACCACGGAGGTCCTGGAGAATCGCAAAGAGAACCCAAGAGGAATAAGAAGCTGCCAAGTATGTCCTCGGTCACTCTCCTCCAGATATCGACCGACGAGGATAAAGAAAGACTAAGAGAAAAAGGATCCACAGACGGGAGGAAAAGCTTATAGGTATAAAAAGACTGCGCGTAAAAAACAGAGAGGAAGAGAGTTGGGAGGAGCAACACGACACTGGAAAACCGAGAGAGAAGGAGAGGGAGCCTGGAAAAGCTGCAGTTGCAGAGAGAAGGAAGAAAGTAAGACGGATGGCGCGCGATGGGGGTGGACAGAGAAGGATGGCCCCTATACAGTTACACGCAACTCTGGCTCTTCTTGCTAGTTACGTGTGAAGCACCCCCGGGTGCAAGTATATATACCCGTTCATATATTGTACATACACACTTACAGTGGAAAAGACGAGAGCCGGTGTCGCGAAATCTTCAAGTTGAATTGAATGTATAAGCATGGACAATGTTGATCGAAGAGGTAAATTGATGGTAGATACATCCGAATCCAACCCCACGTAGAGATAGAGTTGGGGGATGTAGAAAAGTAGAGCGGCGCGGTGTGCATGTGTACACATATAAATACATATATACCTATACACAGTCGGGATGAAAGAGGACGAGCGAGCTTGCAGGAGTGGTTATGTACATGTATAGCCCAAAAGAGGTGGAAAGGAGCGGCGGTCGGGGAGGAGGTGGTCCGTCGTCGTCCTAGACACGCAGCGAGGGAGGAAAGGGTGGGATGACCGAGTGGGAGGAAAAGAGGGCGACGTCGGCGAAAAAGACAGAGAGGGCCCCCCCTGGGAAGTAACCTCGCCGGGACGTGGAGGGCTTACGCGTGTGTATATATGTATATCTGGGATAGAGAGAGAGAGAGAGGATCTGGACCCCGGAACAGAGGTTGTACGAGAGAGAGAGACTAGGAGACGCGTCGAGACGTTCAATACCGGCACGCTCGGCCAATGCTATTGGCTATACCCACCCGCTATGTTGCTGCAGATTTTTCTCTCTCTCTCTCTTTTCAGCGCACGTACAGCCATATACGTATGTATAAGGTTTGTGTGTGCTTCGGGGCCTCCCGATGATGCGCTACCGATCCTCCTTTCTTTTGCCTCCAGTTCCGGGCTCTTTTCAGCTTTTCCGCTCCACGCGCTATTTCGTTTTTTTTTTTTCCTCTTTCTCTATAGCCTTTTGCAATGATCGAATGCCTGATGATCGAATCAAATAATTTGGATTATATTGAATCCGTACGGTACTCGCATCGGGAAATCCCGTACGGCTTTTCATCGCAATATTTTAGTAATCATTACCTTCGTCTTGTAAAAAAAAAAGTGTACTCGCTTTTAACTGCAACGCAATGTGTAATTCTAGAATCGGCAAATCGTGGAGCTTTTTTAAGCTTTAAACGTGTTTTTTTTTAATAAAGCATAGTAAGCTTTCGCTTTGGGTTTTCGGAATTATTTACCTTAAATTTTTTCATCTTGGTACTACTACGTTGCACGTATAACCACAATAATATTCGTGTCCATACTAATTTGTGAAATCCTAGTTTTACGAAAATATATGGTGTACACGTCTACGCATAATACATGTATCATAAATGACAATAAATTTCATATAATTGTGTGGACGAGAAATACGATTCTTTTTTTATTAGTATAGGAAACAGTTGTTACATTTTTGCAAGGATTACATGATCAACCATTAAAGTTTGCTCCCGAATGGCTTGAGACCAAATCGTGATGCTATGCCAGCGGTTGGGTCGATTTCTGCTTTTATACTTGAAGCTATATTATTTTTTCTGACAACTTCTGCTATCGTGCCATTATTCGGGACAACTTCTGCCATTGTATCATTCCTCGGGCCAACTTCTGACGCTGTTCCACGCTTTAGGAGATCTTCCAACGCTTCGCCTCTCTTTAGGACAAGTCCTGTGGCTACGTCACCTATTGGACCATCTTTTACCTTCAATTCCTGGAAAGTTTCAGTGAAATTTTTTTTTTCGTACTTATTAATTTTTTATGCAAAACAAAGATTTTAATACACGTACCCCGAGTGGCAGAGCTCCGACGCCGAGATGAGCGGTCAGTAGTGCATGAATTCTACTATTGCGCTGTTGAACAATAAATACATGATGCTTTAATGATTTTCAAGAAGAAAAATTCAGTGTTATACAAAACATTTTTTTGCACAAAATGTGAGGGTTAATTCGTGTTTACTTTTTCAGTACAATCGGAATGGAAGTATGGAAAATCGCATTTGTTAACGAGAGCAGTGGAAACAAAAATTGTGGTTAGTCCTCGAATACTTCTTTGGATGTTAAATGTAATTTTTGACAAAATGTGACTTCCTTTCAATCGTGAGATAAATATGGAAAAACTACCAATATTTTCCGAAATTTTGCATATTTTTCTTTTTAAAATTAAGTAAAAATTTATTTAAAATTTANCCAGGAGACGTCTAGCCAGCAATTTTTATAACTTTTTTTGTAGACACTACAGTAGTGAGAAAATTTAATGCGTATACTTTAAAATTCATAGTAAATTAATTGAAAAATTGTAATGATGCCTTTTTACTTCTAAAATATTAAAAACGTTTAAAGTAAGAGCTTGAAAATTAACTAACATTACCGATAACGTACTAATATGAAAATTCTTACGGACTTTTAATTTGATCTTTTGAGCTTTGTTGTTTCAAAGAAAGAAAAATCAATGTTTTCAACAAAGATTGAACGCTATTTTCTTCCTCGGGAGTATTAATTTTTTTAACAATAAAAAATACAATTATGCTATTCAAACATGATTTCTTCAAATCTCCTATGAAGAGTAATATTTATAACTTCTCCGTAATGAATACGATAGTTTTTAAAATAATAATGATGTTTAATGCTTACTCTGTGTATACGTTCACTTCGGCGTTCACTTCGACGTTCGGTTTTTCGTTCGTCATCGATATTTATCTTAAATAATATTCATAAATATTCCGTTAAAAAACAAAAAAAAATGTTTTATGGAATAAAAATTTAAAAAAATTACTTCGGCATTTAGGTTGAGGCAAGCTGCCATGCTAATAACAGCAGCTAAAAAGAGCAGCACGTACATCTTCATTTTTCGGGCAATACACAATATCCCAAGTGTGCAATACTGAATTATTTAATTTTTTCAACTTTGTGGAAAAATTTTTAAAACTCACTTTTTGCGTTTGACTGGCCTCTGGGATTCGAGCACGTGACTTATATACCCGCCGACAAAAACCACTACAAACGTTTTGCATTACAATGATAATACGCTCATGTCGTATCGACAACCAATTTTTATTCAAAAAGACACGTTTTTCTATTCCAACTGTTTTGTCCTTTAAAACTTTTACTGCACTACGTGCTCGCGCATTTATTTATACAATGTCAATGTTAACTTCCAGGCATTTAATGGATTCCGAGAAGTTGAACTTGTGGCCTTTAAAGAATTACACCGTTATCGATATAATTATGATAAAGTTCATAGAATTTCGATTAAACATAGGCCACTGTTTAACATTTATTAATGCCATAACTTTTCTAATAAACCAAAACTTTGTGTTAATTTGTTGTATTTAATTAAGTAACTTAGTAACAAATGTGCCTCAAAAATAAATAAATTTGATTTTGTTTTTTTTTAATTTAATTACTTCAAAATCAACTTCCATTTCGAGATCAACAACATTATCAAAGAAATCGTTTAAAGACGTTAATCACGAGAATTGTAGGTGATCGAAAAAAAAATTACATCAGTGGTCATCGACACCCGAAGACTTAGAAATAACTAAATTAAAGGGCAGAGACAGGTATTTAAAAATTTAATGAAAAACAAATCGTAGCCCAGGATATTCTGCAGTTTTCTTCTAATTGTACTCAGGGTACATGACTAATTATACATTGTAATTGAAAAAAAAAAAAAAAAAAAAAAAAAAACAGCTCATGGTCACGAGCTGAGTGAAAAAATATTAATATGGTTTCAACATAACGAACCGATGAAAAGACTCCGAAAAACCCTCTCGTAAAGAATGCAACAATGCAAAACCGAAAAAAAAGGAGGGGATGGGAGGGAAAACACGTACATGATATTATGTACACCTGCGCAAGACCAATGAGATGAAAATTTTGTATCTCATTAGAGCGCGGAAAAAAAGGCGCGCCCATTTCACGTATAATGTGTATTTACGCGTCTACACGGGATACCCTCCTTTATCCCGTTTCGTGCTTTAATGCGCGCAATCCTAAATAATGAGTTTATTCTGCCCCCCCCCCCACCGAAAAAAAAAGGTTAATTTTTCCTCGACTCCCGCGCCCCAGCCCTGGAAAAACAAAAAAATAATAGTACACGTATACGCTCGGCAGCAAAACAAGGGATGAGGATGAGAGAAACGGGGGAGGAAAAAAAAATCACGTCCTACACGCGCGTGCATTATGTATAAAAAAAAAAAAAGCTCGGTCGGAGCTATTCCCGCGTACTTGTATGTGTAAGCGTATAAAGAGCGCCAGACATGCGCTAGAGCTTTTTTGTCTACTTGCAAGCTCGCTTGTACTTGCACAGGCACATGTGTATAGGGAGCTACGGAGGAGAAAAGAGGACCTTTTCTTTGTACATCTTCCTCGGGTCATCTCAAAAAAGGCTGCACTCGGCTCTCGGCAAAGCTCTGTGCTTTCGCGTGTTCGCTCGCAAAAAGCTCCGTGGGTGAGTTTTTCGCAAAAGAGAAACGTTACGAGCGCAAGCTCTTCTGCGTGTGCTTCGTTTGTATAATACAACATTTATATGTATGCGCACTCCGTGCATCTACACGTGAATGTGGGCAAACTCGAGACAAGCTTTCAGAGCTTTTCGGCGACTCTCTGGTTTGATATTAGGAAAGTATATGTAACAAAAATAAATATCTTGATTTTACGAGATCGATTAAGTTTTACTTTTTTTTCTGCAAGGTAGCATTTTAACGAAATCGTGATAATGCAAATGAAAATCACGCACTGAAAATACTTGTATTTTGTATTGTTTTTAACGACATAAAATGTCTTTTATCTATTGTTTAAAAACAACATGTTTCGTATCTTTCGATGTGAACAAAAATGATAGCATATGTGGTATTTTTTCAATTTAAGAACAAAATCACGCACTTCACTGCCTTTTAAAAGTACAGATTGAGATCAAGATAAGATAGTGTAGACCAGTAGAAACTCTGTCGTAATAGTTGAAAAAAAAATTGCAATTGATTGCAAGTGTTACACAGGTGACTGTAATATTTTTCCCAATTTTTATTATATTTGCAATACAAATACATAACTGTGAATGCTACAATTTCTATGTTATTTTTAGAACAGAAAAAAAATTTATGTACAAGTTCGATGAGTGATAGTGTTATAAAACTTGCGTTCCTAAATTAAAACATTTTTTTTTGTAATAAAAATAATTAACATGTCACTTTGGATACTGAGTTTTGCAACATGTTAAATAAAAAAAATGAAAAAAAAAAAAAAATCTCAGCGTCATAATATCTATATGACTTTTATGAACATTTGTACAAATTTTTTTATTCCATAATTTTGAAGCAAATACAAATTTTCGTGTACTTATCTCTTACGAAAGAACAAACAAGTAAAATATCGTCATTTTAGATCATCACCATAGTGTAAACTTATTTCATTTCGTATGTTGTTGCTACTTTTTAAATCCCGCCGAATAAAAGTCACGTAATCAGTCTTAACTAATAACACGACGAATAAAAAGTTTCAGTCACGTGACAACCAATATTTTTATGATAGGAAAATAAATTTTATATTTGATAATGAAAAAATGAAACATTGTGTAATGTAACATTTGATGAAATAGATATAGGCTTGGCTCGAATAAAATTGCACATTGGTTTTTCAGATCAACGGAAATCCTTATCACCTTGACGCGTACTATCAGCTTGATTTCCCATCTCTTTCGCGTGCACGACCTTGCCTGGTATAAAACAAGATTCGCGTCGCTCGTCGTGTCATTATCTCGTGCAGTGCGCCACTCGTGCAAGATGCCGTGGAACAGCGACAGTAGCGAAAATTACATCGCCGATGCACCCACCGATGACACCGTAACGCCGCAGGATGTTGCACTTGTGGCACAACGTTTCACCAAGGATCCGTCGGTTCGGGTACTTGGGTACGACTTGAAGGCCTATTCTTCCGACAAGCTCGGATTTTCGGGATGCCACAGACAACTGACGATCAAATTTAAGGTAAATTCTGCCAATCACATCGTTATTGACAACTAAAGTTTTTTTTTTTTTTTTTTTTTTTTTATTTCATTAATCATCTTGATTCGTGTAGAAAAATCACGCAAAAAGCTCCGAGACGATAAAGCTGTTCGTGAAATCCGTGGCCTACGACAACAAGGAGCAGAGCGAGTTGATGACGGATGCGGGTATTTTCGTCGAGGAGCACAATTTTTTCAACAGCATCATCCCGCAGTTGCTGGAAAATTACGCGGGCGAGCAATTTGCCCCAATTTGTTACTTGTCGAAGGCAGATTGTTTGATCATGGAAGATCTCAGGTGTCACAATTACCAATTGCGCGCCAGCTTTTTCAACTGCCACCCGGAAGTCGAGTCCGCGCTCTCAACCTTGGCTCGGTTTCACGCCTCTACCATCATTGCCGAGGCTAAACTCACGCAATCGTTCAAGGTGATGCAAGTTTTTTTTTTTTTTTTTTCTTTTTTTTCAACTTTTCGAAAAAGCACACGAATTCGTGGGTCAAAAAATAGCACGCACCGATTGTCACACTCTCACCGTTGTTTGATGCACAGATCAATCGGGGACTTGATTCACTAAGTGCATCACTTTACAGCTAGTGGACCACGAAGCTGTGCGTTTAGTCAATCAAGAGTTTCATGAGTGTGTGTATGCTGTACTTCAGTTCAATAGAAACGACCTTCATACGAAACATTGATTTGATTTTTTTTTTTTTTTTTTTATATTTATCTTTTTTTTCCAGAGACCAATGACTCTAAAAGAACGCTATCCGGATTACTTTACGGAAAAAATATTCAAAAAGGACACTCGTGTGCACGATTGGATCACAAGTAGCATCAACGTGGTTTGCGCTGTTGGGAAAAAATTCGGTCACGATCCCGATAAATTGAGAAAAGCTTTCGATCGACTGTACGAAATCGTGAAACCTTCGGAGGTCCACCGCAACGCGATAACGCACAGTGACCTTTGGACGAACAACATAATGTTCGACGACGGCAAACCAACGCCGAAATCGGTTCTCGTGGATTTCCAGGTGATCAGGTACAGTCCTTTGGTGCTGGACGTTTTGAAGTTCTTGTACATGCACACGTCCCGGGATTTTCGCGACAATCACGAGAAGGAACTGGTGCAGGTTTATCACTCGGTGATGGAAGAAACGATAAAAAATAGTAAAATGTCGGGAGTAGCCGTGGCTCCGACGTTGCTGGAAATTACTTATGCGATGGACGATTTGAGGGTATATGGGCCCGGTATGGCTACTTTGTACCTACCGGCGGTATTGTTGGATCCGGAGATGCTGAAAGAGGCAACCAAAGACTCCATGGACTTCTTTTTCTCTGATAGGACTGACTTAACTTTAGATTTATTGGAAAAAAACAAAGTGTATCGAGATCGGATCAAGGAAGCTGTTGATGAATTATCCATTGTTTGTAACACGTTACAGTGAATTTTGCCTTTTGCTCGGGTGTCGTATAACAACATCTGGTGTAGTCAGTTTTTTTGTTTTTTTTCCTCTCTAGTAACACAATGTATTATTATTCCTCGTAGTTACATCTTCTCTGGACACGTGAGTTCGAGAAATGTTTTTAAATAATTTTTCCACAAGTATTATTTCAACTCTTTTAGATAATTATGTAACTATGCATCGATTAGTCTACTAAAAAATTTTTTATTCATCTCTGTACGCCTTGCTGAAAAACTTTCAGTACATCTGACATTTTTATGCATTTGAAATAATATTTAATATACTCTGTATCCATTCTTCTTTAAAGCACATACATATACATATATTACTATTGTTGTGATATACATGTAAAGATACATCCGTATGTGATTATGCAACGAAAACAACAATATTAACATACATAAATGTGGTAAACAATGTACAGCTAACGAACGTGTGGGTGTATAGATATGCCCATATATAAAATGTGTTTGCGTGAAAAAAGTTTCGTAAGGCTAGTATTTCGTACATGTATGAATATTGTACGATACTGGTAGGTAGGTACATACTTATTGACTATATTTTCTGATATCAAGGAATTAAATGATAATAATGAAATGCCAATAAATTAAATGATAACGGGAAAAATGTAATATTTTAATTCTCCAGAATCTAGTAGTCAAATGCCTAATTTAATTCATAGCACATTGATGTAACTAACAAATACATAAATAATAACAGTTGAATAATAAATAATGTTTCACAAAAAAAAAAAAAAAAAAAAAAAAAAAAGCAACCTGTCGAATCGTAGTGCAAGATACAAAAAACATTATCATTTATTCCCTAAAAATACTTATCATGGAACACACGTAATTTTGTATTTTATTTTAAATGTTACAAGTACAGTCCACGAATGCGATGAAAAATAAACACGGCAATGACGACGCATCGGAGCAAATGTAAGTAAAAAAAAAAGGGAAATAAAAATCAACTGCAGAACGGAAGAAGCATCACCTGCCCGGCGCGCCCCTGTCCCCTTCCCGTCGCGCATCTGTCGCGATCGAAAATTAGCGGTCGGCACCATCAGCACCCTTTGTCTCGTGCCGGCTCACTCTCTCGCCAAACAAAGCCAATCGAAAAAACTCCTCCCCCCGTCTCGGTCTGTCAATTAAATATCACCCAAAAGTCATACCGATTATACCCACGTGCATCTTTTCAGCCTCGGGGCTTTCTTCGGTTTCTCTCCGGTCCGAACGGACGATTAGCCGCAAAGAATGTCTTTCTCTCTCTCTCTCTCTCTCTCTCCTCGCTAACTTTGTCTGTGCATCCTATATACGTATAGATACCTATCCGCGGTGCGCTGGGCAATGATCCGAGGAGAAAAAGATAGTGCAACTGTCCGTCTACGTGACCACGGGCTACGAATCGATTTGCGCTCCATCGCCGCAGCCGCGCTACCGATCCTCACTGCTCCTTAAACGATCGTTTCATCTTCTTTTTTTCCTCTTTCTCCGCCCCGACTCTGAACTACTGTGCGCAAATCGGTTGGAGTCATTTTTATTGTTTCATACATTTGGAGATTGGCCGTGTATGGTTTGCAGCACTGGTGGTAAAATGTTTTACAGCGAGTGAAACTTTTCTTTTTTTTTTATGCAGATTCTCAATCGGTAGGGAGATCGGGTGTATACAATTTCGTTGAATAATGCAAAAGTGTCGCCATCAACCTTTTATACAAGTAATTTGGAAAATGGCCGGACGCGGTAAAAAGAGTTGAATTCAGCCTCGACGGAACAATAGCTGTACCTTCAACTCGTTGATAGAGCAAAGTGTATTATTGTACGTCAAGCCGTTCGGCAACTTGTTGCTTCCCTCGTCCATAAAATAGAAAAACATCAACAGCAACAATAAAAAGCTGCAACTTTGACCGGTACGGCAAGTGGCAACGGATGAAAAAGAAGGATAATCTACGGAGATGGGTGCAGACCTCCCTTAAATACTCGGGAGAGGTAATTCGATAATTGGCGGGTAATCGGGGGATGCCGAGAGAGAGACGCGCAGGGTCCTCCTTTGTAATTTTCGGACATGTGCCCAGTAACCCTCACGGCGCACAGTGAGCGATTTCGTTTTTTTTTTGTTTTTTTTTTGTAATACATAGTGCCAAAACGAAAGAAGGTAGAGTTAGCTTTAATTAAAAAAAAAATCATTACTATACCTTCCTTCGTTTTGGCGCTATGTATACGAACACTGTGGCAGCGCCTCTAACCGCCTGTCTTTTCCAACTACCGATCGTAAAAGTTTTTTTTTTTTTTTTTTTTTTTTTTGAACAGATTTTCTGCAGAAGACTCTCGTGACGAGTGCTAGTTTCTGAGACGACGGTGGCGCAAAGTTACGAGGCAGCCAGAGCTGTTGCAGTTATCGTTGCTGCTATCGAAGTTGTGCGATTTCGTTGTCTTCTCAATTATTATTTGTGGGAATTCCATTCGAAATAATAAATAGAAAAAATAAAATTTTTTTAAATTCTTTGCAAATGAGTTGTAGTTTCAATTGATCGATAAGTTACTGGATAATCGATCGAGATAACGCTTTATTTTGTAATTTATCGAGTAGATTGACAATTAATATACTTTATTTTAATAATTTTTATACAATTGAAATATTATTTTCAAAATGATTGTGGTTAAATAGAATCATTTTATAAATATTAAGAATTCTTATGAAAAAGAGAACCATCTTTCAAAGACAGGTGTTCAATTAATTTTTTTTTTTTTTTTTTTTTTTTATACTAGATAAGTATTAACATAAGGCTCGAGAACAACACGGGTATAAAATAATTTTCAGTGAAGAAACTTTTCAAATTACCAGTTGCAACAGTACAATAACAATCGATTCCTCATTCATCAAGGCACTGGAATCCAATAACATCGGTATAAAATACATACGAGGGGAAAATACTATTACTCCAAGACAAGTTACAAAAATATTTTTACAAAATTTGTATGAAAAATACCATTGTCTCTTACGTCGAGCTTCAACAGCTATCGGAATGCTTTTTCAAGTTCTTGCTAAGAATTGACGTTATACGTGGAGAAAAAAATTACAGTAAAAAAATTTGTTCTGCAGCGATGATTTTTCATTGATTTTCATCAAAGAAATAAACGAATATGACAACTAAGGATAACATTAGTTTGATTTAGTCCTGATTAACATTAATTTTTTAATAAAAAAGACTTCAACTATGCATAGTCGGCATCTTGTGCCTTATAAATACATCTATATATTACAGAAGAGGTAGTCATTATAAAAAAAAAAAAAAAAAAAAAAAAAAAAAAAAAAAATTCTCCATTATTTCGACATCAGAACAAGACGTATTGTCGGATTTTTCATTGGTTTTATCGCTCGGCGCAGTATCGTTGGCATCGCCCTTTAATTGAGGACTATCCGTTGAGGCACTCTTACTTATTTCTTTACACTCGGATTTGATCGACGTATCGACATTGACATCGTCGTTATCGTCGATGATTCGAACGTCATCGCCATCATCCGAATCTTCGTTTGGCGTTTGCACTACTTTTTTATCACCAGCTGCACTGGAACTACTCGTTACGAATTTATTAATCAAACTAACCCTTGGCGACTTGAGCGGGTATTCCAGCCTCGGTAGAGAAACGAGTGCTACGCGTTTTGGTAGTTTGGTCATGGGTGGTGTGGTGGTCTTGGCCGTGGAGACCGTGGCCGGCTTCTCGGTCAACTGTTTCTGCATCTCCTCGGCAGTGAGGGTCTTGGTGAACTGCGTGATGCGCGGCGTATTTTTCTTCTCCTTGACGTCTTCGCTCTTCTCCAGGGGCTGTTTCTCTTTCACCTCGGACTGCGGTTGTTTGACTTTTTTTTTCGGCGTAAGGCAGTACGTCCAGCAGTTTGGCAAGCTCAGTGTCTCGTCGCCCAGGTACTTTTTGCGCACTTCTTCCGGCACGTACCACATCGACTTCTCGTGCAGTGGGCCAGGCTCGGGACAGGGCGTATAGGTGGCTAGTTCGCGTATCTTCTCTTTCAGCTTCATCTTCGTCAGTGGCCTCTTGTCCTCCTTAACCTTGTACCAGAACTCGAGGAACTCTTTCATCAGGAACTTTTGGGCATTGGTGTTGCCGTGGACCAAACGGATGAGATCAGGCACCGCCTCCTCCAGGGTTTCCGCGTTGCGCGCACTTGTCGCTGCGTGTTTGGCCGACCACGCTGTGTTCTCGCTGAGGTCGCCCTCGGCTGGTGCTGTCAGCGACAAAGGAATCGCACGCGCCCACGCCTGCCGTACAGTTAAAAATCTAACCACAGAGTCCGGAGCTGAAATTAAACATTGCACGAGTCGTAATAATGTGCCAATTTTTTTTCTTTTTTTTTTGTATTAATAATAAAAAAGAAAATCTTCCCCAACTTACTGTTCTCGGGATACGTATTGTCCGCTTGTAGCCAACAGCATCCGATCACTTTTGGATTGAGCTTTGTGGTCTTTTGCTTTCGTTCCGCCTCGAACTGCTCGTTCAGGATCTTTAGTTTCGTCTTCTGTCTCTCTGGATTCTTTAAAAAAAAAATATATATATATAAAGATCGGCATTGATAAATTAATTGCATGCCATCGATGTACTGTAATTTTAGAGTAAAAGTCCAACTCACCAGATCATCGTCTTCTTCGCCTTCCTCTTCGTCAGCCATAATTTCCTCCTCGGATAAGTATCTGCAATGAGACAAGTTATATTAGAGTGGCCAACATCAAACTGTCAATAGATGGGTATACAGAGAATCAACTCACCCGTGAGGGACCATAAAGTCGTTGTCCACGTCGTACTCGTTGTCTTCCGGATCTTCCTCTTTCTCATCGTCGGAACCGCGCAGCGATTCTCCCGGTTCTTCCTCCTCCCACTCGTCATCCGAGTCGACTTCGTAATCAAACCATTTCTAAAAAATAAAAAAAAAAAGGAAAAAATTAAATAACCACCCAATCGCAAGTACAATATACAACTATGGGTTCCAAGTGATAGAATAAAAATTACGATTATTAAAGTATTCGCATCATTCGTGCGATGAGTCTTATCTGAAAATCCCCCTCCCCAAAACAATAATTAGTGAAATTACAAAACGTCCAAAAATGGCCCCTATCACCATCTCGTGGCTATCGACAAATTAAAATAATCATCGGTAATAATAACCAACAGTGTTTACAGCGGCAGAGCCGAAGGTTCTGCAGCAATTGAAAGAAGAAGAAGAAGAAGAAGAAGAAAAAAGAAGAAACTTTTTTTTTTTTAACACCAAACAAGAAAAAAAGACGAGCGAAGAAGAGATCGTCGTGCGTGCGCGCGCGTGTATCTCGCTCCGTCAGCGACTCTCGGCGTTGAATGAAACAGGACATCGGTATCAGGGCGACTTCCTTGACGAGAGCGATATCAGCGTCTCTCGCTCGGCGAGCTTTTGTTTTTAATCGCCCCGAGTTTTTTAGTCAAATAAGAATCACTGTCGCGGTCGCGTGAATGAGACCGGCGCTGCCGCTCAACGTAACATCAGCATCTGCATGTTACAGTGTGAACGCGCGTGTTTGCAAAAATAGCTCGTTTCCTCTTGTTTCGGAGCGGATTTTTTTTTTTTTTTTTTTTTTGTACTCCAGAGATGGTGGCGATGATGACGATGGTGACACCAGTCACAAGGCTTTTCCGCTCAGTTGAACCGACACGTTGACAAACATATGCAGAGCCAATGGAATGAGCGTCGAAAAAGAACTATACTTACCCATAGATAATTGTTACCGCGAAACTTTGGTCATGCGAGGACTTTACACGGCAACAGTTACCCTCAAAGGTGTTAATTTCCAAGTTTAAGTGAATCACGATCCTATAGTTACACGGTACAATTTAAGGAGGCCGATTGAAGCCGTTGTTTGTAAGCGAAAAAATAAAAAAAATAAAAAAAATAAAAATAATAAGGTTGCACCATGAGATCAAACTGGAAGATTTGAAGTACCATCGGCCAATTGACGACGGATGCGAGCACGTTTTGGCATCTCCACTCGAGGTGAACGATTATTTTGTTTACTCCTACAGGATATTTTATTGCGGAAAATATACGTAGGTATGGGGTACGAGGGATGGGAACAGTAAGTGCTCTGTGTGGAGGTAGTTTACGCGGTTAGATTCTTTACGGTGATTAAAATTCAAGAGGAACACGGCTCGCATAAGATGGAATCTCTTTCCCTCTACATGACTTTACTCTTACACGGAACCGGAAAATCGAGTAATAATTATTATAATCTGCGTAAACCACATCGCTATCCTTTGGCGTAATATGCGTGACGGTAATTTTTTTTTTTTTTTTTTTTTTGTTTTTCTCCGAGTTAACATTTACACTCATTTGGGATGATATTTTTTGGTTCCAAGGCTTTGACAAATAAAACCAACGCGCGCAATAAATTCAATCAATTTGGTTTGTTGTACGAGAAAAGGGGGGGAAAATATTAATCAACCGCAAGCGATATGATAACGTTTTATCCGTCCCATGAGATTCAATGAAAACCGTACGGCGCCATCGTCACACAATACGTATCATCGTAGTATGAAAAAAAAAAAAATAAAAAAAAAAAATGAACAAGGTTCACAAAGTATTTATTTGTATGAATCGTCGAACATACTTGTTTTAATAATAAATTCCAACAAAACGTGCCAAAAATACAGCACTGACCCCTCAATTAACATTAAACTCTGGTGGGTCACAGTTGAGCGATAAATGCTATCGAACTACATTAAGATTTCGTTACTTTATCTGTACGTTAAATTAATTTGCGGATAAATTTTTCGAAAAAATTTGGGGACAGTTGTGTAATATGTATTACAAAACCACGTATCAAACGCTTTATAAGATCCACAGATATTCCAAAATGTTAAAACAACCGGCCTCGAAAAATTGTTGCAAATAACAATTGGGTAGTAGTAAACACTTCCATACATAAAATTCAATTGATCATCGCTTTGAAGAGTCTATGGACACTCAGCACATAAGTGACAAAAAAAGTGCCAGATAACATCGTACGGAATAAGGAGAACTAGATGAGGAAAAAAAAAAAATTAAAAAATAAACCAGACGCGACGTGGTCCTCCAAATATAGGTGTCACAACAGACGTAAGAGAGAGAGACGTGATACCGAGTGGCGACGAGACGCACACGCGCAACAGAGAAAATCTATTGGAAAGCGATGCCGACGTTTGGAGTGGGTTTTTTTTTGTTTACCTTATAATAGTATCAAGAGTAGACGGGAAACGCATGGGAAGTACAATTTATGGCGTGTTATGGGCCATGTGTAATGGCTGGTTAATAACGTCGTATATGTAGATAGTAGGAAAAGCTACCGTCATCACATCATCACACATGGTGTGTGAGATTGATGATTTTGTTACGCTTCGGCGAGTCGTGTCGCGCTAAACATCAATAAACTTATATATGTACGACGTGAAAAAAAAAAAAAAAAAATAGATATTTAAATTTGATAAAATACATTTTATCAATATTGAAACAATATTAGATACTCTACTTTCGTTAGCTGTTTATCGTTAAAAGTGTCAAACTCCGCGTTATGTGTTTGATTCGTTTATATCGGGTATTTCCGAAAATTAATACACCACGTCAATACGCTGAGAGAAAAAAATAACGAACGTTGTAGAGAAATTCCAGAAAAAATTATCATTACGCACAGTAAACCGGATGCAAGCTGGTAAAAAAGGAAAAAATTATTTTTCATATTAAAGATTTTTATTGTAAAAGTGAAAATTGTAGTTTGAATGGTAAAAATTATGGTTGGAACAGTAAAATTTATCACGCTGGAACAGTAAGCCTTAAAAAGATCGGTTAATAAATTTTACTTTCCCTCATGGAAATTTTTTACTATTTTAACCATAGTTGTAACTGTTCAAACAATAATTTCTGTTAAAATACAAATTTTTTTACTTTTTTGCTAGCTTGCATCCGATTTACTGAGCGGAATGGTAATAATTTTCGCTGGAATTTCTCTACAATTTTTATTATTATTTTTTTCCTCAATGTATACATCTAAATCTGAATTTGCGGGTAAACGATTTTAATCTCATCTCTGATTGATTGTAATATTCAATGATAAAAAAAAAAAAAATGTCGATTCGTAGAGTAAAGTCATATTTTGTTTGGATTGTATGCAAATGTCTTCAATGTATTTTTCATTCAACAGAAAACCATATGCACCAAGGATGGTCAATCCGCACGATTGAGCCGACGATATCAAATATACACGATTCGCGTTGTAGCGCAATTTTTTTTTTTTATCATAGAATAATGTGCGCGTGTGACGGGGCGATCTTGCGCTCTATTTTTTCAAAGCCCATAAACTTGACGATAACAGAGAGCGAGTGTGCGCGCAGACGAATCTGCTCGAATTTCTAACGAGCCTCGCATCTGCAAAAACATCTTATCTAAAAAGCTCGGGCTCGGCACATCACCCGTACACGCGGCGAATTTGCGAAAAAAAAAAAAAAAAAAAAATCGCGGGCTTCTGCAGTCTCGCCGATCGACCGCCAGATCCACAGAAACAAAGAAGAGAGACAGAACGTATCTGTATCGTGGTAAAAAAAAAAAAAAAAAAAAATACGAATAGGTTGATACGTGATGCACGAGCCAAACAGACTGTGTAGAGGTTTAGTTTGTTGGTCGGATGCCATGTGTGTATAATGATGCGTGATCGGTAAGGGAAACGGGTGCATATCAGGATACGAGCTGCTTGCGTTTCTGTCGCAAATTTAATTGTTCTTTAAGCGTCACGAGAGCTCTTTTTAGTCGCATCCTAGTCCAACGAGAGCTTTATCGATTCTCGCTTTTCCATTAGGTATCGGTAAGTCGATTTTTTGTTGAAAATCGTTTCGCAGCGGTTTACCGAGAAGGTCGTTTTTTGATTAGTTCGAGTCTTTTTGGGACAAATAATAAATTATACATATCGATAACCTCACGCGAACATCATCGAATGTGTAGGTGAAATTTCGTAAAAAAAACAAAAACAAAAAAAAAAAAAAAAAAAAAAAAAACCAGCGAGAGAATAAGATCTGTCGACTGCGTTCGTTACAATCAGCCCTTCTCTCCCTTGATAAACCAACGCAATCCCAAACTTCCGCAACGCAAACTAGATTGTTGATTAAAAAATGCTCAACGGCAAATGTAAACGATTTGACAAACAATTCGACCAACACTCGACATTGACGATAACGCCCGAAACTTATTAAACGTCTTTTCAAACAATCGTCTCNAAAAAAAAAAAAAAAAAAAAAAAAAAAAAAAAAAAAAAAAGAAATAACCAGCGATCGAAAAACATCTGTCAACTGCGTTCGTTATTACAATATCTTTCGACACGGGATAAACCAACGCAATCCCAAACTTCCGCAACGCAAACTAGATTGTTGATTAAAAAATGCTCAACGGCAAATGTAAACGATTTGACAAACAATTCGACCAACACTCGACATTGACGATAACGCCCGAAACTTATTAAACGTCTTTTCAAACAATCGTCTCGCGGTGCAGTAACTCGGTCCGAAACGATCAAAAATCTAATATGGTACAATGTACACGTAAAAGCTGGGCACCGAAATTATAGTAAATACGTATCTCTTCCGCCACCCACTTTATCTCGCGCGCGGTAAAATTCCTCTCTCTCCGTCCTCGTCGAGCGGGGACCATCATCGTCGTCGTCATTAGACGCGATCCCCTGGGGGATGGTTCTCTCCTTCTCTCAGCGCGTTTGCACGGGGCTGATAATCGGGACGCGCACTTGTCGCGCGCCTCGCTCTCTTTCGTCCTATTGAATGATGTTCAAACAGTTCACCGTCGCACTCGCGTCCGAGAGGGTGCCTTTGGTTTTTTTTTCGTTTTTTTTTTTGTTTTACTCTCTCTTTTCCTTCGGATCGGCGAAACTGACGTAACGTATTTTCGAGACGAAAGTTTTTACAACATCGTAACGAAAGAGATACAGTGTCAGCGCTCGCAAATCATCCCGAAAGTGATTTAGATTAAGGCGACGGTGATGTTTGCGAAATGATCGATCGTCTTTGACTTTGACTCTCACTCGTCGAACCGGCATACCGATTTTTACCCTTGCTTTTGAAATCTACCGGTCGCTTTTTCAAAATGATCGAAGACAGCTCTCTGTTCGACGTGAGTATGCAAAACACCTCACCGTTGTACCAATAATAGAACATCGGATGGAAATGTACCTGTTATTTTCTCGTACTGATCCAACGAGGATGATTATAAAAAACAATAATAACGATACTCACGAGAGGCACCTACACTCGGATATTACGTTCGATTGAAACGCACGTATTGTACTTGCACACTTTGAAGGAGAATAATCGCATAGACCGGCTCGCTGCCATGGTTGCTCATTAGTCAGCTAGAGCCTCGCGGATCTTCCGGTTTGTTGCATTATTCTTTTGCGCTCGAGCTTTTTTTTTTTTTCTTCTGATGATGCGTTTAAAAACAGTGATGTTCTTTAGATTTTTAGGACACTTTTGTTTTTTTTTTTTGTTTCATCCGATTTTTATTATACCTTTACACGTGAATAACGATGGGTGCATCGGGTACGAGAAAAAGTGACAACTTCATCGGTATAGCGTTGACGCGCAAGCTTAACAAAAGTACAAGGTAGAAGAGCAAAACCATCACTATATATTTCACGTTAGATCACAAATTACAATGAACCTTCGCGCGTATACACAAGGTATAATACCAGCTCTCCGTGATTTACGCTCATTATTATTATTAAGAAAGGAATGCCGATTCGCAAATTATCGGTAATGGGGGGAAAAAAATGTAAATACAACAAGTTACGCAACCCGCGTACAGCTCAGGATTCACTTATCACTGATGCCTCTCAATAATATAACTACAGAGAAGTTTCATCGCGTACACCTAATACGTCACCTATTTGATACTATGGTCGATATTAAATAAAAAAAAAAAAAAAAAGAAAAAATTTTAAAAAAAAAAAAAAAAAAAAAAAAAAAAAAAGCAACCTGTCGAATCGTAGTGCAAGATACAAAAAACATTATCATTTATTCCCTAAAAATACTTATCATGGAACACACGTAATTTTGTATTTTATTTTAAATGTTACAAGTACAGTCCACGAATGCGATGNAAAAAAAAAAAAAAAAAAAAGGAAAAATTGAAGGAAAATCGCCAATTTCCAATAATCCTCAATACCACGCTCACATACGTTGTAACCGCAGATGGCGGACGAGCTGCTGTTCTCAGCCTTGGGCCTCGAGACGAGTACACCACAGTTGGACGCGGAGAGCCTGGGCTCGTCACCCTCGAGTTTCCTCTCGGAGTACGAGACCCCGTGCACACCGTCGAGCGGCAGCTCGGAGAGCCTCGAGACCAACCTGACCACGATACCAGGCGTGCACGACTTTTACAGCGACTCCTCCTCGCCCGAGTTACCCTGGAACGACTGGAGTGCTGGCACTTTTTCGTTCATCGGTAAGCCCAAGTGTTAACTACTTGACGGGGGGGGGGGGAAACGATGATGTAAAATAACGCTCTCCATAGACTTCAACGAGTTGGTGCCCGAGCTCGATTGGTGGACGGACGGGGACTGCGGTGGTGCGAGCCTACCCGTGAGGACGCCCCTCTGTACACCTGGTTGCGAGGACTTTCTGTACCTGCCGATACCCGCTAAGGCCTCCCAACAACAGCTCGAGGAGCCGCTTCTGGTTTTAGGCGTCGATCGTAGGCCCTTGGACGACAACTTTGTCATGACCCAAGGTAAGCTCGCTGGTTATCTCTGGATGATCAACTGTAGCTTTCCAAAAAAGAGGGGTCAACAGAGTTTTGCTTTTAGACGTCAACTACCAGCTCGCCACGAGTGACGGTTCGGCGGACGTGGCTCTGGCGACTCACGATTACTCGCATCGCGAAACTCCTACGGCTCCGTCACCGGCAACCGAGGAGCGCTGCTTTCCTTGCACGTATCAGGGCTGCTCCAAGGTGGGTAACACTCCCACGTGCACCCATGTGGTTTTTTCAGCACGTGTGCATACTATTTATGCTGCATCTACATTGTAGGTTTACGCGAAGGCGTCCCACCTGAAGGCCCATCTGCGGAGGCACACTGGCGAGAAGCCGTTCGCGTGCACGTGGTCGGGGTGCGGTTGGCGCTTCAGCCGGTCGGACGAACTGGCTCGTCATCGGCGCTCCCACTCGGGCGTCAAGCCGTATCCCTGCGAGATGTGCCCGAAACGGTTCGCCCGCAGCGATCACTTGGCCAAGCATCGCAAGGTCCACCGCAAGAACGCTTACAACTCGCGCCTCAAGCAGCCGGCGCTCTGATCTGTTGGGATGGTCCTGGTGTTATTTACTTAGTATGCTCTGTGCGCGAGGACGCTCCGGTTCTTGAGGTTGCGAGCAAAGTCGATCTGTTGAGATTCGAGGAACTGCATGATGAATAATAAGGGTTTTCTTTTTTTTTTTTCGTAACCCGTTTACGTGTCTTTTACAAGATTGCAGCTTTCAACCATGAGCTATTGACTATAGTTAGTTTTTACTGTACGACGATGAATATATATATACTTACTCGAGATTGCGATAGCGACAAATGATGAGCATATTTTACTGCAGTATTATTACTAAAAAAATGCCTGAACTCATTTGTTGGCTACTTGATGCTTGTGTTTGAACCTATTTTTTTTTTTTTTTTTTTTTTCATCCCCTGACATTGGATCATTTTTCGAATCTCTTGGATATTATTTTTATCGTTTTATAAGCTAAAGAGTTAAGAATAGATTATTATTTCTCTAATTCTTGAAATTTGAGTGACCATGGAAAATCTAGGATAAAGATAGCTGTAAGGTTTATGATGTACGATTTACAGCTGATACACCATTGTAAATAATCACTATTGAATTAAAATAAAGTCACTTTATACGCCATTTGTAATTTATATGTGGTTTTGCAAAATTAATTACCCTGTAGGATTTTTGTACAACAGTAATCTGGAATTCCATACAATTACTTGATATTGCGCAACAAAGTGACTACAACGAGATGACTATAGCTGATTGTGCTTACGAGATTTCTAATTTTTGGTTAATTAAAATTTTGACCACCTTTATTTCATTACCTACTCGTACTAGCAAAATTAAACGCATCGTAAAAATCCCACCACAAGAGAAAATAAAAAAATACTTACAGTATCTATGACAAATGGTCGGCGTGGCCGGATTAATTTACTCTTTTTCCTCCACGTTCCCCAGTATGGTGGTCGACGATTCTCATTGAAGAGAAACAGTTTGGCACGATGTTTGTTAGCTGCTTTTTGGCTTGCTTGAACAACGTTTGCACTAGTTTCCTCTTCACCCTCTGTTGAAACACGTAATACAAAAATGTTGAAACGTAACACATGGATTAAGATGCGTGATTAAAAAAAAAAAAAAAAAAAAAAAAAACTTTACCTATTATTACTACGTCGTCATTTGCCTCTACAGGCCACGTCTTACCAGACTTTCTGACACAAAACTTTTTACTTCTCAGTTCATTTATGTACAACTCAGATACGTTTTTGATACTTTCAGACATAAGCTTGTCGAGCTCTGATTTTTCCCCGTTTGACAGTTTTCGTCTTGTAACAGGAGCTGTTCTCATGTCGACTTTCACTTCAAAAGGCATGAAATTACTCTGCACGACTTTGGTCTCCACTTCTGCAGGTTTCGTTTCAGTCGGTTTTTTCGATACAAAGAAGCTTACAAAATTTGAGGCTGCCTTTTGTTTTTTTCTTTCAGCCTCTAGCTTTTCTTCCTCTTTTCGTTTCCTTTCTTCCTCCTTTGCTTCTTCCCGCTTACGACGATCCTCTTCCTTGGCCTCTTTTTCCTTTTGCTTTTGCCTGAAAGTTGCGATGATTTAAAGAAAGTTTGATATTTAAACTAATTGTTTCAACTGCATGAATTTGCAACTTACTCAAGTTCCGCTAGTTTTTTTTGTTCTCTCTCTTCCTTTTCTTTTTTTTTTTGTTCTTTCAAGGCTTTATCTTTTTCTTCGCGTTCCCGTTTTTTTTCCTCCTTTTCTTTTTTTCTGTTTTCACGTTCTTCTTGCAATTTTTTTTCTCTCTCCTAAAAAACATGGGATAACATTAAAGACGTTTAAAATAATGGCACAGATATTTTCCACCAATTGAATAATATCTTACAAATCTCTGCTTCTCTCGCATTTCACGTTTTTTCATGGACTCGCGTTTTTTTTCTATTTGCTTTGGAGTAAGTTTCTTCGTTATAGACAGGTCAGATAACTTGCTACTCGATTTCGACTTTTTGGCCGAATTCCTGTTAACGTCATCTTTGCTATCCGTGTCTTCGTGTTCTGTCCTTTTGTCCGTGTCTGAGGATGAATCTACATCTAAACATACATCAGAGTCAGCATCCATATTTTCATCATCCTTGACGCTAGATGGTTCCACACTTTCTTGCTCGTCTTCATCACTGGAGAAAGAATCCTGATCGCTAGGTTCATTTTCCTTATTTTTCAACTTGATGTCATCATCCTTTTTACCAAGATTTTTACTGCTTTCTTTTTCTTGTTGACCACAATGGTCATTTGAATTATCTGATACATCAATTATCTGGCTACACTGTACACTTTCTTTTGTTGATTCTTCACTATTTGAAGCTTCAGTTTGCACCTCATTTTTTCCAACCTTATCCTTATCATCGATCTTCTTGAAAAACTTTGTCACTGGGGTCAACTGAATTTTAGATTCTGATTTCTTAGCTTTTGGAGTTTTTCCACCAATGGATTTCTTTTTCTTGCTATCAGTCTGTTTTGAGCTAATAGTGACATTTTTAGCTTCCTCAACTTTCTTGTCCTTTTTATCATCTTTTACATCTCCTTCATCCTCAACAATAATAATTTCTTCCTTTTCAGTCTTATTTGATGTTTTGGGGGAATTCTCCTTTGTATTTACCTTGGCTATCTTAGGCTTTCTAACACAAGGCGATACCACTTGTTTTCTTTTTTTGTTAGGAACTGATGTGTCAGAACTCAACGTTTTGAAAGGTAACCTCTCTGCAAAACAAGTGAAATCATCATTAAATTACAAATACATGGAATTTTCAATAAATTACAATATTTTTTTATAATACCTTGTTTTGATACTTCTTTTGAGGTTGTATCAATAACTTCTTCAATTTGGCATTCATCATCACTGGATACTTCCATAATTTTCATTCCTAAAATAAGAAGTAAATTGAATGCCATACTTCTCCTAACTAATCAGACAATGACATCAAATCATCCCTTATTAGCAGAAAACAATGAATAACACAAGAATATAAAGTTAGTATTCAAAGAAGTGTCTATTATATTTCAGTAATTAAAAAAAAAAGTTTGAGAGTAGTTATACATACAAATTTTTGATTCATCAATCCATTTGCAATTTACGCAATGTGCCAAGAACTGGCACTTGAATTAGGAATTAATTATTCACAACGAACAAAACAATCATTTAAACAATTGTCACATAGACACAACAATTCAATAAACACTAAAAACCTACAAAAACCAACCTTTTTACGGTGGAGGCGAGAGGTTTTGCGAGCACTTTTGCCAAAGGTGATAAGATAATTAAACTTAGCAAAGGAAGACTTGAATACGTGGGCACTGCGATTCCATCTCCCAGTACCAGGACGATCGTTTAAGATTCCGAAGTGTATATTACCGAGCCGGAGAAGCCCGTTTGCGCTAATGTTACGCGATTACTAATCAACACTTTTTTCACTAGGTCAACCAACCACAAAATCAACCAGAACCTGGTGTCGGGCAAGACGACGACGAAGGTGGTTCCGGATGATGGTTGTGGTTGATAAAATCCGCGGGAAAAGCACGGTCGTCGTAGAAATCGTCGATTAACACGGTCAGCCAATGAATGTGCGTGAAAACTAAGAGCGGCAAATTTGGATCACTAAGTATGAAAATGCTTGCGATTTCCAATCAATTTTTCTTCGATTGTATTTTTTATTTTTTTTTTTTCAACCAGAGTAAATTAAAAGCTCGAAATCTCATTTGACTCACGATACAGAAATAAAGAGCAAGGTTACAGAGATTAATTTTATTCGTACTTAACATTAATAAGAATATACACATTTGTCGAAAAAATAATACATTAGTTATATAATTGACGCTTAGATGAGGTATATAATTTTTTTTTATACAAAAAGGCAAATATATAAATTGTTTTGTATGCTTGTGCGTCGATGCAATCATATAATATAAACATTTGTCTTAAAAATATAAAATGTAAGTCTTGTTTTAATATTGTTTGAATTGCAATTCAAGAAGCAAATAGGCCATGCAGCATACAAATGCCTCTATATTATCACAACATATACTTTGTTCATCAGATCGATTGAAAAAGGCAACTATTCCGAAGGCTTGAAATTGTAAACTGGATATCTTGGTGCAAAGCGATCACCTGCGCCGATCACATGCTCTGATTCTTCACGGTCTCTAAGACCCCTTGAGCGAAATTGCGATTCCTCATAAGTAGGTGGAGCTTCAATAAAAATTTAATAAGTACTGTTAATTTGTTTAAATCATACCGAAAATTTAGTGCAAATATTTGATAAATAATTGTACCAAGGTTGGGATAAAGACTTGGGGGATTGTAACTAGCAGGTTCCATAGGTGCAGAAGGAGCTATGGGTGGATACATTCCTCCCTGTGCAGCCTCGTCCGATTTATTTGTAAACTCTGGTGTTGAATAATTCGGCGGTGATGGCATTTGATAGTTGGATAGCGGTACAGTCCCAATCAAAATCTTGGTTTCAGCCCTTAGATTTTTGTAGTAGCTGTTGAGAACAATTATTTTTAAACTTTTTAATTATGAGGGATAAATTATTATTATTATTATTTTTTTACTAAAAACTTACAGTCCTGAGACACAAGCTTCTATTGTTAATTTATACTCCAAATCTATCAGACCACAATGATTGAGGAATGATGGAGGTAGAGGAGGTACATCCAGGTTTTGTTCATAACTTGTCGTTTCATTCCCATTTACTGGTCCCTTGCTTACCTCTGAAACTGTCAGATCCACAACTTTCTTTTCGGTACGTGGTGTAGTTGCAGAATACGTTATTATCTTGACAAGTTTAAGTTTTATTGTATCAACTGTAACGCCAGATTGATTTTCAACATTCACTTTGACAGGTATTGCCTGTCCTGGTACATATCCTCTTACAGGCAGCCTAACATTAACAGACAGTGGTGGAGTTCCACAGCATAGACAGCAAAATGTCTTATTTTCTTCAAGATCAACTTGTTCCTGAGAATAAAGAAAAAAAATTAAAATTTTTACGACATTTAGTAATAAATAAAAAACTTACCGAAGCACTTGACTCTTTATTCAAATCAAAGTGAGAGACAACTGTAAAAGCTACTTTAGTTTCTTGATCGAATTTCCATGGGCGATCCAAGACTGCTTTGGCTGTATAGCGAATACGCCCAAAGTCAGACTCAAAACTACTTGGCAAATTGGGAGGAAGCACATAGTTAAAGGGATAAGTGTGCGTTCCAGCGGGTAATTCTATTTCTTGACCTAAAATGCAAATGGATTAGGTAAAATACATTTGGATTTCACTGCTGATTTTTTGAAACGAAAATTTACTTGATTCTGATCCAAGAACGTAAAAATGAGCCTTAAAGTAATCCTCATGGCCAGTAACTACGTCCGTCTCATTAATGTAACGACCTTCATTGTTTAATTCCTCCCTATCAGTTGACCAATAAGTATCAGCTTCTCCCTTAACGCTCAATTTGATACCTGTGCAAAGATCAAAACTAATATGAAACTAATTGTATGCATTTGAATAATTCTGATGTATATTATATACTTTTATCACTTTGCACAGTACAAAAGTATGTATGAAAATAAATGAGTTGTCAAACTTGAAAGATTACATATGATATATAACTGACTAAAGCTCAAGTAAAATTTTCTCTATTGAAACAAATGTTAAAATCTCAGTTGAGCTCTGGCATTAGAAAGGTATAACTGCACCTAGTTCAAGATCTTAATAAACTCCGATTCTTGGAAGCATTTTGAAATACGTCAATGTGCATGGTACTACATAGAAAGAGAGCGGGTAGTCCGGTGGTGCGAGAGCACCAGGAATGCCAAATACACGCGTAAACACTAAAAATAGAGTAACGTATAACATTTGTGTAAAAAAATATATACACTCATACATACACGTTCACACACAACAAACGTGAGTGACGGAGACGCGCCCAACAATAAGAACAGTACAATGCGTGCATAAGTATCTTAAACAAATGATAAAAAAAACCAACATTCGTACCTCGTATTTTTTTGGGGGAATCAAGCTCGAGGATGATTTTTCCAGTGACTGTCTGTTCCGGATGGTAGGTAGCGTACGGGCTGTCAAAGTGTATTTTAAATTCCTTGAGGCCCATCGCGCGATCTCTGGATGCAGATCTCTGCGATGCGAAGCTCACAACGACGACCAATCCAATGGAATGCGGAGAACGGCGATGCACCACCGAATCACGGATGCAAGAGGCAAGTTATATACCTATATAATACTAGTGACAGCGCCCCCGAGAAATTCAAGGAAGAACAAAAGTTAAAATCCAAACTAAGTACTTCTTTGCAGGCTTTTCAGTACTTACTTTGCACTTTGCAGTACTTCGTTCATTCAACAGAAAGCATGGGAATCTCACCTTGAGAAACAACTGATGTATGATGCACTGAAAAAGTAGAAACTAAGATTATATTTAAGAAATAAAGATTAATAAATAGGTACAGGCTCCTCCCTCTTCGGGGCTCTTGGCTCCACGGGCTTTTTATTTTTTACCAATTACTAGATGACAGAGAGCACTAAACAATGTGACCGGACGATCACACGATCACCAGACGATCACTCTTTAAGTTCTAAGTATACATTTCTTTTATAACTGCACTGCGTGTGTATTTTTTTTAAATTCTTTTAAGCCGGCCGTCTAGTAACGCGGCTATTGTGGCTACGGCCTGATTCAGGTTTCAGGCCACCTGAAGATTACACTGTACTGACCTACTGTAGGTGCGTACAGTTTCCTTCATTTACCGCATTTAAAATATATGTCTTTTTCATTGCATTTTCGGTATCATCTCATTCATATTGTACATTATTTTGCTGCTACAATTTTTATATTATTTCGTTTAGATTGTCTTTGTAATCATTGCTGCATGCACATGTATACTAAAACTTAATAAGCATATGCCTATCGGAATGCTTTTTGGCCTCAAAATTTATTGGGTACTTAGTAGTATTACTTTCTTAAATCATATGCGCCGTGACAAAAACATCTAAATAAAAAAATGGAATGAATTGAAAATTTCGAAGAAACGCGCGCGGGAACCCCCCCCCCCTGCCACAAAATTTGTGTATGTACAGATATATATATTCTGGTAGCTTATGTTTGAAGAATATAAGAATCGAGGTGTTGTAGTTTGTAGTCGATGTCCGAACTCCGAGTAGGTATAAGTAGGTACTAATTGTTTCAAACAAACTACCCAACTTAAGTAATACATGCAACCTTATCAAAAAGCTAGTGTTATATAGCACCCATTATTGTTATCGCTCGCTTACAACTTTTGTAATCTTATGCGACGACGACTGCATCAAAAGCCTTCTTTTTCTTTTATTACAAAGTAAGTATATATATATATATTGTTGTCCTACGTACACTAACTGCTGACTTCTCGCTATAAATGGTTTCTAACGCGCGTTTTTCTTTTGATTTGGTTTCTAGTTCATCAGCCACAAGAAGAATAATAAAAAATACATAATTACCCCACGACGAGGAGCGCGCTCTCCGGCAAATCATTATGCTATAACTCATTGTCAGTAGCGTTTTACTAAGTATATACTTTTTTCTTTTCATCTCCCATTAAGTATATCGTCGCACTGCTTCTCGATACATTTTTTGTTTGTAGTTACATGATAAGTGAATTCGCAGAGCCGTTTTTTCGTTACTCGTGTTTTCATCTTCGTGCCAACTATACATCTTTATACTTACTTGCGTTTTACAATGTTTTGATACAGGTATACCTAATTCAACTCATTCATTTGCTTCTCGTCAATCAAGTATCGGCATGTGCAATTTCGCTTGTTTATGGCCTGTGTCTGTCTCGTTTCTTTGTCCTTTATGGGCTACTATTATGTTATCTGTTGCTATACTGTGCTTTTGAGGGGTTTTTTTATGGACACACTTTATAGCTTTATAGCTGTTTTTAACTCCAATTTCATTATGTATTTACTTCCAGAGTATGTACTCTCTTAGTTTGTACAGTAATTAATTTTTAATCGTAGCTCTATGTGTATACACCTATACAAATAAGGTTCATTCGTTTTTTACAAAGCTTATATAATAATGATGATTTTATATTGAAAACTTTTTTTATTGATCTTATTATTGACTTGACTACCAAGATTATACATTTAAATCTTTTTTATACTCCTGATAACAAGCTGTGCTACAATAGATTATCTAGAATGATGTACTTTTTCAAAGTAATGTTATCAAAAAATTTAAACATTTAACTGATATATTCTTGGAAAAAATAAATTTCTCATCACCTTATACACTGTAATGTTCATGAACCTTAAAATTCAGTGATTAGACTTTAATTATAAATAAAATAATTTAGTATCAGTTATATAAATAACTCCCTACTTCTGTTTTATTTGTCTTTTCAAATGCTGAACAAAATTCAACGCATTTGATATATGTTCATAGTTATATGGCTTACTTTTTTACCTTACACTAAATTGACGTACACTAAAAATATCATAAATTTTGATTTCTTTTTTTTTGCAGATTGAGCAACAAAGAAAATTGTTTTGATAAAAAGTTGATTTGAAGAATTAAACATGGGACTCTTAGCCCATATAAAACAATCAAGAATCTCGCATCTTATGATAGCTATTACCTTTTTTACATCGGGCTTAATTATAAATTTTTTCCAATGTGTTTTATACTTCGGACTGAGGCCTTTTTCAAAATATTTGTATCGTAAAATTAATTACTATCTCTGCTACTCATTCTACAGTGGTAAATAGGAAAATTATTTTAAATCCCAGTGAATTGAGTGTGAGAAAAGTTGAATTTATTTCAGTAATTATTTATTATTTTAGAAGTGGTCTTTATGGCAGAATGGTGGTCAGGAACAGATGTCACGATTTACATAGACAAAAAAGATTTCGAAAAATACTATGGAAATGAGCATGGTTACCTATTAATGAACCATAGTTATGAAATAGATTGGTTAATAGGTTGGATGTTCTGTGAGCGTATTCGCATGCTCGGCGTATGTTATATAAACGTTAACACAATGATTGTGAAAATATTGTTGAAACTAATTATGGTATATTTTACGTAGAATTGCAAAGCTTATGCTAAAAAGTCCATTCAGTACGTTCCAACGCTTGGATGGGCATGGAAATTTGCTGAAAGTATTTTCTTGGAAAGAAGTTGGGAAAAAGACAAAGAAACCATTGGGGAACAAATTAAAGAATTAACCGAGTATCCGGACACTATGTGGGTAAGTTAATGTAGAAAAATAATAAAGTTTTGGTCATTATTTTTATCGTCGTTGTAAATATAAAATGTTAAATATTTTTTTAGTTGTTACTATATGCGGAAGGTACTCGTTTTACCCCTGAAAAAGCTGAGGCTAGTCGAAAATTTGCTCAAGACAAAGGGTTACCGATTTTAAAACACCATTTAACTCCAAGAACAAAAGGGTTTACAGCAAGTATTCCGCACATGAGAGGAAAAGTTGGGGCAATTTATAACATTCAATTGGCATTCAAACCATCTGAACTCGTTAAGCCTACCATGACAAATCTTCTGCTTGGAAAAGGAGTTGAAGCACATATGTACATAAATAGAATACCACTTGACATGGTACCAGAGGGTGAGGAAGCTGCTGCACAATGGTTACATAATATTTATCAAGAAAAGGTAAGAGTACATTTTATCAGGCAGACTCGTTGCTGAAACTGAATTTATAGTAACGAATCATGAATTGTAGGATCGCATGGCAGATAGTTTTATTCAAACAGGAGATTTTTTTGCAACAAGTGGCGTTACCAGAACTGATACTTTTAAATTAGAAAGAAGAATTTGGTCTCTTGTTAACACACTGTTTTGGGCAACTGTTGTTCTAGTACCTATGCTATATTATCTTATTAGACTTCTCTTGTCAGGCTCAACAACATACTTTTGCATAGGAGTTGGAATCATAGGTTTATGTAAGTAATAATTTAGAAAAAATGTATATCTTAAGTAAATGAATATCGGATGAAAAATTTAGAAAACATTTAAAATTGATATATTATTTTTAGTCTTTTTATTAATGCATAAAATCATTGGAATGTCTGAGATCAGCAAAAGTTCTTCATATGGAGCTGCCGAGACCAAAAAAGCAAAATGAAGAAAAAAATAATAAAAATAACACTTATTTATAAACAATGCGAAAAATTCAAAGCAGAGAAATGGTTGTTTTCAATTGCTGCAAGCAGTCGTGATATTTTTTCAGTGATGAATTATTTGTAAAGATAAACATTGTTTTTTGTTAATACTCAGCGTAGCGAAAAACATTTTTAATAATTTTTACATAGCCTAGAAAGATGCTGTACGTGTTTGTGTATGTGTATATATACACACAATATTTTTTGTCTACTTTATATTTGAATTGAAACAAATCGTTGTTGTTACATTAAATAACTGTTGAAATTTAGTTTGACAGTAACAGTTTTTTTCTACTCCTCTAGTGAAAATATGTAAAAAACCGGTAGAAAAAAAAAGAACATTCTTAAAATTTATTTGAGTTAACAAGTGGAAAAAGATGAAAATGGTGAATATGAAAGTAAAAAAACGATGGTTTAAAAAAAAAAAAAAAAAAAAAGAAACGATACTTTGAATAAATTTGAAAATAGTTTTTCAATGTACGTATTCATTCCAAAATCACTCCGAGGACGGCGACGAAAGATTGCTCGATACGTGGTGCTTTTCTCGGTATCCCTCGAAAGGCCGAGCTGAATAGCTTATCGCCCTCAATTTTCCCCTTGCGTCGTAATACCCATAGTGGCCCTTGACGCTTCCATCCTTCAGTCTCTCCTCCAATCGAAATTGCCGATTTTTCCTGCCACAAAAGCCCATTACCTTCAGTATTTAATTATAAAATAATAATAATAATAATAGTAATAAAAGTTCAACTCTACTAAATGTCATACCCGTCGCCAGTGTCGAAACCAAAGATGTAACTTTTCGGGCCATCGTGTCCTTGAATTTGAAACTCCACCCTATCCCCATCCGGCGACAACATAAGTTTCTCGGACGATTCCTCCTCTACAGGTTTTTTCTTCACCTTGGCCTCGCTTTCCAAAGCTACCTACGAATCGTGGGGGAGAAAAAAAAAAAAAAAGGCAATTCACAAAGTTTCGTCGAGCACCGTTAAAAACGTCCATCCGAACCTCCGACTCGATCTGCTGAGCGGGAGCGTGGTCTCTCACGTATGCGGGCTGAAGTTTTTCCGTCACCTCCTCCTCGACCGGCGTTGAGTAAGGTCGATGATTCTTGGGCACTGGGTCTTCCGGGAGGAAACGCGAGTACTCCGACACCGAGTCCCGACTCGGGGGCTGCAAGTACCTGGCCGCCAGTGGGTCGTAACGGTTGGTATGGCCGTCGGGGTCGCCGGTTTGCGGTAAAGCAAGTGCGAGCTCGTTTATCAGCCGGTAGTCCTTGGGTGTGAAAAGGTACCGGTGCACGTGGATCCTCTTGGGCTGGGACGAGCTGACGTGGACGCACGCGATCGACAACAGTAGCTTTTATTTTGCCGAACCGAGAAAAAATGTTATATATATTTTAACGTGAAAGTTGTTGCATGGGTATATACGTATATGCGGCTCAAAGTTTTTTTTTTCCTCCCCGTGGAATGGTTTTTTGTTCGCGGAATACTTACGTGAGCGCGACCAAGTGGCCGGTGAAGCGCGACCGTGTGTATATAGCCATGACATTTCTTTTACATGAATAGTGAAAGCTTTGTCGCGTTGTTACTTTTGGCTTTACGTTTCTCAAATTTGTTCGCGACCAAGTAAATCGTGTTGACGAGCCATAAGCCGGAATAAATCGCTTACGCTACTTAGAGTACATGCAGAGAATTTTCATAGGTAAGAACAAGAACAAAAAAATCGTTAAAAAACGAAAATTTCTTATTGAATAAAACGATGCAGGTATGTTGGTTGTGTTTATGAAAAAAATGTAGGTATAGGTATGGGTGTACAATAATATATATGTTTACTTACAGTAGCGAATCTCGAACACATCGCCTCCTTTCGGTCGAGCGACTCGGCCTGCACTGAGCCCGCGTCCAAATCTGCATGCTCGAATGACGATCTTTTAAATTTCCTTCCTTCAACACACCGGCTAAGTACTTACTCCGATGCGGCTCTCTCTTTGAATTAATTTTTTTTTTTATTCAGCTCATCTTAAATAAATGTATAAAAATATTTACCCACTACGCTTCGATTTTTACTTCAATTTTTTTATTTTTCTTGAATACTAATGTAGGTATTTCGCTAATTTTTTAACAAAAAAATACAATATTCAAGCGCTTACGGAAACTCGATGCACTTGTTATTAATATTATTATTATTTTTTTACTAAAAACTTACAGTCCTGAGACACAAGCTTCTATTGTTAATTTATACTCCAAATCTATCAGACCACAATGATTGAGGAATGATGGAGGTAGAGGAGGTACATCCAGGTTTTGTTCATAACTTGTCGTTTCATTCCCATTTACTGGTCCCTTGCTTACCTCTGAAACTGTCAGATCCACAACTTTCTTTTCGGTACGTGGTGTAGTTGCAGAATACGTTATTATCTTGACAAGTTTAAGTTTTATTGTATCAACTGTAACGCCAGATTGATTTTCAACATTCACTTTGACAGGTATTGCCTGTCCTGGTACATATCCTCTTACAGGCAGCCTAACATTAACAGACAGTGGTGGAGTTCCACAGCATAGACAGCAAAATGTCTTATTTTCTTCAAGATCAACTTGTTCCTGAGAATAAAGAAAAAAAATTAAAATTTTTACGACATTTAGTAATAAATAAAAAACTTACCGAAGCACTTGACTCTTTATTCAAATCAAAGTGAGAGACAACTGTAAAAGCTACTTTAGTTTCTTGATCGAATTTCCATGGGCGATCCAAGACTGCTTTGGCTGTATAGCGAATACGCCCAAAGTCAGACTCAAAACTACTTGGCAAATTGGGAGGAAGCACATAGTTAAAGGGATAAGTGTGCGTTCCAGCGGGTAATTCTATTTCTTGACCTAAAATGCAAATGGATTAGGTAAAATACATTTGGATTTCACTGCTGATTTTTTGAAACGAAAATTTACTTGATTCTGATCCAAGAACGTAAAAATGAGCCTTAAAGTAATCCTCATGGCCAGTAACTACGTCCGTCTCATTAATGTAACGACCTTCATTGTTTAATTCCTCCCTATCAGTTGACCAATAAGTATCAGCTTCTCCCTTAACGCTCAATTTGATACCTGTGCAAAGATCAAAACTAATATGAAACTAATTGTATGCATTTGAATAATTCTGATGTATATTATATACTTTTATCACTTTGCACAGTACAAAAGTATGTATGAAAATAAATGAGTTGTCAAACTTGAAAGATTACATATGATATATAACTGACTAAAGCTCAAGTAAAATTTTCTCTATTGAAACAAATGTTAAAATCTCAGTTGAGCTCTGGCATTAGAAAGGTATAACTGCACCTAGTTCAAGATCTTAATAAACTCCGATTCTTGGAAGCATTTTGAAATACGTCAATGTGCATGGTACTACATAGAAAGAGAGCGGGTAGTCCGGTGGTGCGAGAGCACCAGGAATGCCAAATACACGCGTAAACACTAAAAATAGAGTAACGTATAACATTTGTGTAAAAAAATATATACACTCATACATACACGTTCACACACAACAAACGTGAGTGACGGAGACGCGCCCAACAATAAGAACAGTACAATGCGTGCATAAGTATCTTAAACAAATGATAAAAAAAACCAACATTCGTACCTCGTATTTTTTTGGGGGAATCAAGCTCGAGGATGATTTTTCCAGTGACTGTCTGTTCCGGATGGTAGGTAGCGTACGGGCTGTCAAAGTGTATTTTAAATTCCTTGAGGCCCATCGCGCGATCTCTGGATGCAGATCTCTGCGATGCGAAGCTCACAACGACGACCAATCCAATGGAATGCGGAGAACGGCGATGCACCACCGAATCACGGATGCAAGAGGCAAGTTATATACCTATATAATACTAGTGACAGCGCCCCCGAGAAATTCAAGGAAGAACAAAAGTTAAAATCCAAACTAAGTACTTCTTTGCAGGCTTTTCAGTACTTACTTTGCACTTTGCAGTACTTCGTTCATTCAACAGAAAGCATGGGAATCTCACCTTGAGAAACAACTGATGTATGATGCACTGAAAAAGTAGAAACTAAGATTATATTTAAGAAATAAAGATTAATAAATAGGTACAGGCTCCTCCCTCTTCGGGGCTCTTGGCTCCACGGGCTTTTTATTTTTTACCAATTACTAGATGACAGAGAGCACTAAACAATGTGACCGGACGATCACACGATCACCAGACGATCACTCTTTAAGTTCTAAGTATACATTTCTTTTATAACTGCACTGCGTGTGTATTTTTTTTAAATTCTTTTAAGCCGGCCGTCTAGTAACGCGGCTATTGTGGCTACGGCCTGATTCAGGTTTCAGGCCACCTGAAGATTACACTGTACTGACCTACTGTAGGTGCGTACAGTTTCCTTCATTTACCGCATTTAAAATATATGTCTTTTTCATTGCATTTTCGGTATCATCTCATTCATATTGTACATTATTTTGCTGCTACAATTTTTATATTATTTCGTTTAGATTGTCTTTGTAATCATTGCTGCATGCACATGTATACTAAAACTTAATAAGCATATGCCTATCGGAATGCTTTTTGGCCTCAAAATTTATTGGGTACTTAGTAGTATTACTTTCTTAAATCATATGCGCCGTGACAAAAACATCTAAATAAAAAAATGGAATGAATTGAAAATTTCGAAGAAACGCGCGCGGGAACCCCCCCCCCCTGCCACAAAATTTGTGTATGTACAGATATATATATTCTGGTAGCTTATGTTTGAAGAATATAAGAATCGAGGTGTTGTAGTTTGTAGTCGATGTCCGAACTCCGAGTAGGTATAAGTAGGTACTAATTGTTTCAAACAAACTACCCAACTTAAGTAATACATGCAACCTTATCAAAAAGCTAGTGTTATATAGCACCCATTATTGTTATCGCTCGCTTACAACTTTTGTAATCTTATGCGACGACGACTGCATCAAAAGCCTTCTTTTTCTTTTATTACAAAGTAAGTATATATATATATATTGTTGTCCTACGTACACTAACTGCTGACTTCTCGCTATAAATGGTTTCTAACGCGCGTTTTTCTTTTGATTTGGTTTCTAGTTCATCAGCCACAAGAAGAATAATAAAAAATACATAATTACCCCACGACGAGGAGCGCGCTCTCCGGCAAATCATTATGCTATAACTCATTGTCAGTAGCGTTTTACTAAGTATATACTTTTTTCTTTTCATCTCCCATTAAGTATATCGTCGCACTGCTTCTCGATACATTTTTTGTTTGTAGTTACATGATAAGTGAATTCGCAGAGCCGTTTTTTCGTTACTCGTGTTTTCATCTTCGTGCCAACTATACATCTTTATACTTACTTGCGTTTTACAATGTTTTGATACAGGTATACCTAATTCAACTCATTCATTTGCTTCTCGTCAATCAAGTATCGGCATGTGCAATTTCGCTTGTTTATGGCCTGTGTCTGTCTCGTTTCTTTGTCCTTTATGGGCTACTATTATGTTATCTGTTGCTATACTGTGCTTTTGAGGGGTTTTTTTATGGACACACTTTATAGCTTTATAGCTGTTTTTAACTCCAATTTCATTATGTATTTACTTCCAGAGTATGTACTCTCTTAGTTTGTACAGTAATTAATTTTTAATCGTAGCTCTATGTGTATACACCTATACAAATAAGGTTCATTCGTTTTTTACAAAGCTTATATAATAATGATGATTTTATATTGAAAACTTTTTTTATTGATCTTATTATTGACTTGACTACCAAGATTATACATTTAAATCTTTTTTATACTCCTGATAACAAGCTGTGCTACAATAGATTATCTAGAATGATGTACTTTTTCAAAGTAATGTTATCAAAAAATTTAAACATTTAACTGATATATTCTTGGAAAAAATAAATTTCTCATCACCTTATACACTGTAATGTTCATGAACCTTAAAATTCAGTGATTAGACTTTAATTATAAATAAAATAATTTAGTATCAGTTATATAAATAACTCCCTACTTCTGTTTTATTTGTCTTTTCAAATGCTGAACAAAATTCAACGCATTTGATATATGTTCATAGTTATATGGCTTACTTTTTTACCTTACACTAAATTGACGTACACTAAAAATATCATAAATTTTGATTTCTTTTTTTTTGCAGATTGAGCAACAAAGAAAATTGTTTTGATAAAAAGTTGATTTGAAGAATTAAACATGGGACTCTTAGCCCATATAAAACAATCAAGAATCTCGCATCTTATGATAGCTATTACCTTTTTTACATCGGGCTTAATTATAAATTTTTTCCAATGTGTTTTATACTTCGGACTGAGGCCTTTTTCAAAATATTTGTATCGTAAAATTAATTACTATCTCTGCTACTCATTCTACAGTGGTAAATAGGAAAATTATTTTAAATCCCAGTGAATTGAGTGTGAGAAAAGTTGAATTTATTTCAGTAATTATTTATTATTTTAGAAGTGGTCTTTATGGCAGAATGGTGGTCAGGAACAGATGTCACGATTTACATAGACAAAAAAGATTTCGAAAAATACTATGGAAATGAGCATGGTTACCTATTAATGAACCATAGTTATGAAATAGATTGGTTAATAGGTTGGATGTTCTGTGAGCGTATTCGCATGCTCGGCGTATGTTATATAAACGTTAACACAATGATTGTGAAAATATTGTTGAAACTAATTATGGTATATTTTACGTAGAATTGCAAAGCTTATGCTAAAAAGTCCATTCAGTACGTTCCAACGCTTGGATGGGCATGGAAATTTGCTGAAAGTATTTTCTTGGAAAGAAGTTGGGAAAAAGACAAAGAAACCATTGGGGAACAAATTAAAGAATTAACCGAGTATCCGGACACTATGTGGGTAAGTTAATGTAGAAAAATAATAAAGTTTTGGTCATTATTTTTATCGTCGTTGTAAATATAAAATGTTAAATATTTTTTTAGTTGTTACTATATGCGGAAGGTACTCGTTTTACCCCTGAAAAAGCTGAGGCTAGTCGAAAATTTGCTCAAGACAAAGGGTTACCGATTTTAAAACACCATTTAACTCCAAGAACAAAAGGGTTTACAGCAAGTATTCCGCACATGAGAGGAAAAGTTGGGGCAATTTATAACATTCAATTGGCATTCAAACCATCTGAACTCGTTAAGCCTACCATGACAAATCTTCTGCTTGGAAAAGGAGTTGAAGCACATATGTACATAAATAGAATACCACTTGACATGGTACCAGAGGGTGAGGAAGCTGCTGCACAATGGTTACATAATATTTATCAAGAAAAGGTAAGAGTACATTTTATCAGGCAGACTCGTTGCTGAAACTGAATTTATAGTAACGAATCATGAATTGTAGGATCGCATGGCAGATAGTTTTATTCAAACAGGAGATTTTTTTGCAACAAGTGGCGTTACCAGAACTGATACTTTTAAATTAGAAAGAAGAATTTGGTCTCTTGTTAACACACTGTTTTGGGCAACTGTTGTTCTAGTACCTATGCTATATTATCTTATTAGACTTCTCTTGTCAGGCTCAACAACATACTTTTGCATAGGAGTTGGAATCATAGGTTTATGTAAGTAATAATTTAGAAAAAATGTATATCTTAAGTAAATGAATATCGGATGAAAAATTTAGAAAACATTTAAAATTGATATATTATTTTTAGTCTTTTTATTAATGCATAAAATCATTGGAATGTCTGAGATCAGCAAAAGTTCTTCATATGGAGCTGCCGAGACCAAAAAAGCAAAATGAAGAAAAAAATAATAAAAATAACACTTATTTATAAACAATGCGAAAAATTCAAAGCAGAGAAATGGTTGTTTTCAATTGCTGCAAGCAGTCGTGATATTTTTTCAGTGATGAATTATTTGTAAAGATAAACATTGTTTTTTGTTAATACTCAGCGTAGCGAAAAACATTTTTAATAATTTTTACATAGCCTAGAAAGATGCTGTACGTGTTTGTGTATGTGTATATATACACACAATATTTTTTGTCTACTTTATATTTGAATTGAAACAAATCGTTGTTGTTACATTAAATAACTGTTGAAATTTAGTTTGACAGTAACAGTTTTTTTCTACTCCTCTAGTGAAAATATGTAAAAAACCGGTAGAAAAAAAAAGAACATTCTTAAAATTTATTTGAGTNATTTATGCGGTAATTGACAAAAAAAAGGCTTCACAATACAAAGAGCTTTAGCACGGAATTTTCACGAAATGTTTAATATACAAATAAGAAGCTTCATTCAAGACATGATAAAAAAAAAAACTTAATATATCAAGTACGGGATTAATGCTCAAGTGCTTAGTTACAGTCTCCGATGAAAGCAACAATGACAATTACTTGAATTGTGTTGTTTTGGCAATCCCGCGACAATGAGCTCCTTTTTTTTTTTTTTTTTTTTTTTTACAATGAAAACATCTATCGTTTGCACTAAAAATTGCGGTACCAATAAAAAGGCTCCGAGAACTTGAAAAAAAAAAATAAAGGCCTTTTCTATAATATTTATACTTCTTTCGTGTCGTGCATCATAAATGTGTACGCATGCAAAACGTTGTTTATTATACCTGAAAAAAGTCTTGTAATGTTTATCCGAGTTTCGAAATAATAGAGTAGAAATCTTTGACATTTTCAACGAGGATAACGTCAAAACTCTCGACAGAAGCTCAAAAGAACAATATAATCATCCGCCGTGATTGTCATGTATGAGCATTTTAATTTTCGTCCATCAGCAGCAAATTGAGCTCCCGAAGGAAACGTCAGCTTCGTCGTAGTCACACACGCGTCACCTGTTCCCATCTATCCGCGAGTTCATATAAAACGCCAACAAACATCGTCGGTTTGCTCATGTTGCACTTGCTTTCGTTGAAAGTTGGCTTTGTGGGCTACGACTGGATTTTTCAATCATGAAGATAACTATTTTCGTATTCGTTAGCTGCCTTTTCTATTCGACTCTCAATTCAGTTTTGGTAAATTTTGGCATTTCAATTGCGATTTTATAACAGAGCCGCAATAGTAATATTTTGGAAAATATTATGTCGATGATAAATTGTTGATTCTGCAGACTCTAAAGTGCCGAACCGGGAACCAACAGAGCGATGACCAGTTCCAGAAGATCATTCAAATCTGCCGCAGACGGTACCTCGGCTACGATCGGGAAACCGGTTACAACTTACGGCGCACCGATTCCCAAGAATCCGATTCCGATTCTGAGGAAGACATGTTCGATCGGAAATTCCTCACTGCCAAGGGAAATCGATACAATTACAACAATAAAAATGACAATTCGGGCAGCTCCGGTAGGTCCTCGTTCTCCTCGAGAGACATGACGACGCATCGCAACTGGAACAACAACAATCCATCATATAACAACAGAAATAACACAAGATCTCCTTACGACAATAACAACAATAATTTTAATAATCGCCATCAGGTGAATTACAATAGCAGGCGAAGTAACAACAATAACATGGATTCTCGGGGATACTCGGATAATTATTCGATTAGTGGTAGCAACAATAACAACAATTACAATTATAACAACAATGATGACGATCGCGAGCAGGCTGTGAGATTGATTACAATAAATATTTAGGATCTGATCTCGAGTGTACCACGTGAATTCAGCTGAGGTTTATTTTTTCTTGGTTTTCAGTGCGTTGTCCAATGCTTTTTCAACGAGCTCAATTTGGTGGACCAGAGGGGCTTCCCGGAGAGGTCGTCGGTGGTAAACATTATGACCCAAAATATTCAGGATTCCGAGCTGCGTGATTTCGTCGAAGAATCCGTGATCGAGTGCTATCATATGTTGAACAACAGTGGTCGCCAGGAGAAGTGTCAGTTTTCGCAAAATCTACTCTCTTGCTTGACCGAGAAGGCTAGTGAGGTGAGAGCTAAAACAGTGTTTTAATAATCATTCTTACAGCCCAGTAGGTATTTATTGGACAGCTAAAATGATTTCAGAGATGTGAAGATTGGGAAGACGAGTAGCTGATGGCTTTTGGAGAGTTGCGCAAGTTAAGGAGTGTAGAATTTTCGAGAGGCAAAAAGACAGAATCGTGACATGTTGTCAAGTTTATGTACAGAGTAATAAAATCTTATGAAAAATAAAAAGTACAAGTGTCTGCATTATTTTACATATTTATACAAAGGCACTAATCTACGCTTAAGAACTACAAAGTAGCAGATTTTTTTTTTTTTTTTTTAAATAATCCTTACATGAGCTTTGATAAATAACGTTTCGTTCATTCAAGTATAAATAAATCATTTTCTCTTTTTCAAATTTTCAAATCGCTTCATTAAATCATCAAAATCAATATCATCGTTTTCTCCCGTGGCATTCGATGTTGCGTCATTGTCAGATGGAACTCCCGGCAAATCTGGTATGTTGAAATCATTCATTGGCATTTTCGAACGTGGTTGAGGCTTTGGCTTTTGATCAGACTGAAAAATTATTAATTAGTACTCCGTTGAAAAATCGTACAAGACATATAATTTCATAACAACCCACTTGTTTGTTCAAATCTGGTGGAAACGATCCATAAGGTGGTGGCAAGTCGTTCTCCTACAAGAATTCAAAGATAAAGATTTTATCCGTCAAAAAATCTTTTTCAACTCTTTATATTTCTACGTACCAGTCGATGTGATATTTCTGGCCTATCTGGTGGTATATTGTAGGAGAATGAATTGGGATTAAACTGAGCGTTCTGACTTTTTTCGTTAAAATTAGATGCACTTGGTGCTACAAAGCCCATTGGTAGATGCAAACTACTGCCTGGAATATTGAAACTTGGATTGGGTGGAAATGGAAGCTGTGGAAATCCTATGAATCCAGGTGGCTGTGGAACTCCACCGCTTGCTTGATCCAAGTTATTAGGAGTTTGTCCTCCGTTTCCTATATCAATCAAAAGCGTATCTTGACCCTCGGCCATAACTTGAGGATCAGGTTCGTACTCGACATTGTAGTTCTTTGCTATTTCCATGAGATACTTTTCCACCAATATTTTTGATGGCGACTGTACGCTCATTTTATGCTTGAGCTTTTCTGATATGGTTGGCATAGCTTCCTCTCTACATGCATCAGAATACTGTCTTCCATACTTGGAAGTTAATATGTCAGAAATCACTTTCATCTCTTGAACATCAGCTTGTAAGCGTGGGGCTGCCCAAATGATGGTCGATATTGCTTCGGCCAGACCATCGTCGAGTGTCCTTAAGTTATAAGTATTGAGTTAATTACCTTGATTAGTAAGAAACGTAGGGCTTATGAATTTCAAGTACACTTACTTCATTTGCTGTATGAGACCAAACCGGGCGAGCAAAAGATCACAATACGTTTCCAAAAGTTCCATGGCTTCGACCATATAATCCTCCCTTATGATGTGCTCTACCCTAATCCTAGCTCTTTCCACTTTGCCAGCGGCAATGTAATCGGCTATTTCTTTCCGTGCTTTTTGTGCTAACTCAGTCTTCTTTTTTTGTAGCAGTTTTAACCTATTTAGCGTTAACTTGAGGTGCGTTTTTAATTTTGTGTAATTTGGGCCGCTAGAAAACATTTTCAAGACTCAAAGTTATCTTTGTAAATAAATATTATCAACACAGCACTACACACTCTTGACACAGTTGATGACCGACACTCTTTTTCGTCATTAAAAACTGAAACGTTGTTTAAACTACTACTTAAGTATGAATCAAAGAATCACAAGTACTTAAACGTTAATTTAAAAAGAGAGAAAGCCGAGGCTCGAGGCAGTCGGGCTTCCGTACAGTCAAGAGCTAGCGCTCACTCACAGACGATGTGATATGACAGGCATATGTATTGTATATGCATTGTTGCACGCATCAGCGACAGCGCCTTTATCCACAGGATGACGTCACACGATGTAGATATACCCCAGATAGATGTGTCACTCTGTCACATGCAGTCATCAAGTGTTTTAAATAAAAGAAAACAGCGATGTACTTACTAATAAGTTAACAATAATGCAAGAACCATCTTTTTTCTTTTTGTTGGCACTGTCATATTAGATATATGTTAACGCCAAACAATTTTGCAAGTGATGCTAACCAACATCTATGTACTATAATTGACAGCACATCATTTTTTTCAAATAAATTATACTCGGATACCAATAATTCTTTATTACAAAACCATAAATGTTTTTGTGGTGCAAGCCTTATTATGACAATATAACAGTTTATAAAATTGACATAAAATTTTTTATTACAAATAGCTTGGTTTAATTTTGCTGATGCTTATAATATATTATAACATATGCAGTGCATTTATTCGTGGTAAGATTTAATTATTAAAAATATACATAAAATTATATTACATTTAATAGCAACAAATTACAAGCTTTGGAATTATTCTCTGAGTCTGGCCAATCTTTGCGTTAATTCGTCTTGTTCCTGACTCACAACCGTTGAAGTACCTATGGTACCAACTTGTCCGGATGGAAGTTCCATGTTCAACTCCAAGCTAAAATTATAATTAAATTTCGTAAATATCCTCTGTAATAAATAGGGAAAAAAATACAAGAAGCTAACTCTTACCCAGCCTCATCAGCTATTTGTTGCATTAGATTATCAACCTCGTTCTGAGGAACGTTTGTCGTTGTAGTCTGAGACATTGCATTTTCCATGTATGAACTTTGTACATCCAAATCTTCAAATTGACTTTCAAACTTGTCCATGAGACCTGAAATTTTTTCCAAGTTCATGGACTTCATGGCTGCATCCATAGCTTTTACGACACCAGCCATCGACTGTGTAACTTTCCTGGTTGTAAGAGCAGTCTGTACTCTGCTGGCCACAGCATCGACTCGTGCACTCATTCGCAAGTAATTCAGAGCCTGATTTTTTTGCCTGATGGCATTTTCTGCATGAATTTTCGCGCCTTCCATGTTTCCCTTCTGAATAGCCTTTTTTACTTTGGCTTTCTCCAGTTTCTCCTCTTTCTCGCATTTTTTGGAATTTCTCTCCAACTCTTTCACAGCAAATTTAAGGTTGAAAAGATTTTCTAAATGGTAAGTGTATTAAGGAAAACAAGTTTATAACTAATTTATAAAATTGAAAAACGAATGCAGAAAAAATGAGTTAAGCATAAGATGTTTTTGATAAGATGTGATTGAAATAAAAATATGATTGTTTAAAAAGGATACTCTCCATCTGAGGGAGAGACATGGCTGATTGTTCGGCCCCCGTTGTAGCAACTGTCAAGAAACAACAACCTAGACCTCAAGACAGAAATGATAGAATAGATCTTGCGTTTGCGTGATTGCACCTCGTAGTTGCTTTTGTTGTCAACCTCCTTGAATTCCAGCTGTCAAGGGTGTTATATATCTATACACGGCCAGTGGTTCTTACATAAAAAACTTTGCTCGACAAAATTTTCAAAGGTGTAACGGACAAGAAATCTTATTTTGAAGTATGTTGTAAACAATTGTAAGATAATGAGTACACTATGAAAAAATGAAGAACGTCTGGATTATTATTTGCTTCCGAAAACCAGGGAAAATAATAAAAAAAGAAAGAATTTTGTTCACTAACTCGTCCGTCTTTTTTTAATTTTACTCGGTCATGTCGAGGATAGGACTTTTTGGTAATAAACAAATTTACGGGTGTCTACACTTGTTACTGTACACTGAGTGAGTACAGTCAAAATCTCTCTCAGCTGATCATTGTTTATAGCAAGAGTAGTAACTATAGTCTGAACTGTCAGATGGCGACTCGTGTATAATTTGCAGTCTAGCTCAAGATGACTCAAGACTTAAAGAGAAGAGAGAAAGACTTAAAAATGAAGACTGTCTAGTCTCAAGGTGTATTCCGCAAACGCTAAAGTGGATTTTGCTGATATGACTCAATTTTCACTGATGCTTTTTTTGGAGTTTGTTTACAAATGAAAAGACAATCAGAAAATCGAAACTTTCGATTCGAATTTCGAAAGTACGAAAATGTTGAAAATAGGAAAATGGGAAAATATAAGTTGTGTTGATCAGCGTCATCTAGCGGTATTAATTTTCTCCCAATCTCCCCTTAGCTTTTTGCCAAAATATTATATTATATTTCTTATGTGTAAATATATATATATATATATATATCATATTTGTGACATTGACTTTTCGCAAAAAAACGAGAGACAAGATTTGAAAATTTTTTTTTCGTCACGAGATTGAGAACAGCGATGGCCGCGATGGTTAAAAGTTTGCTTCCGACCGCAACCTTTATACTGCTAGATGGCGCTGATTGCCAACCAATGAAAGCATCAGCATCCAAACATATATATGTGATTACTGTGATTAGTGATTACAAAATGTACCTAATAAGTATATAAGCAAGCCACATGATGGCTCTGTCGGTAGCGTGTCTGCCTACAGATCTTGATGGCCGGGGTTCAAATCCCACTCTGGACAAAAATTTCATCAATGAATGAGGTTTTTTTCTGGATGAGAGTTGAACTTCAATAAACCTACCGATCCATCTACCGTTTCCTCCTACTGTTATTAAACCCAACGTATGGCTAAATACACTTTATAGTGTCAAAATAGCCATGTCTGAGCCCTCAAGGGGCGATGATGAATATAAAAAAAAAAAAAAAAGTATATAAGCGAATCGCAAACTCGCGCAACCTCACAAATGTTTGGTCCGTATGGTGGGGGGCAGAGGGGCGAAGCGGGAGGGTTTTATTGAACTTGGACGATGAGACGATGTTTTTTATTCGTTTATTTTTTGCATGAAAAAATAAATTTACCTTACGCGACAGCTCGTTCGAACTTTCTCAAGTGTTTATCAGGCTGGTGTAATCTTTCGCGAATGATATCGCAAAAAAAAAACATTACGAGATTCTTGTCGTACAAACAACGTAGGTGCTGAAAATATAATATATATGATTTTATCAAAGCTCTTTACCGGCATTTTATCGTAAAACTACGTGGTGAGTGCACAGAAAATTAAATATATTTTTTGCGTAAATTTATATAAGGCCATAATATGACAAATCATTTCATTTTTCATTAATTTTCATATTTTATTGAATTTTAGATGTTATATTCGTTTGCCGAAACGATTAGTTATATTATGATCATAAGTCATCCTTAAGAAAAATATTGTCAATCGAGATCGTTTCTTTTTACAGCAAAAGTATGTGCACCGCGGCACAAAAGAAGGTATTTTTCAATATTACCGCACATATTTATTTATTCAGGAAATTATGCGGGAAATTATTCCCTTTGCAATTTTGATGTGAACATATTGGTGTCTAGTTGAATTTGATAGATATTTGTAGTTATATTTTGAAGACGAAATTTAAATATCACATATTGTTTTACAGTAAAATCATTATTTCTATAAATCGATGAAAATGTTTATAGTTCAATATAACAAGTGGACTCGCGAGCTAGCTGATATTAAAAAACTTTTACATTACTTTTATACGTAGCCACGTCACACAAGTGAATCAGGAATGGGGACTTGTAAGAATTTTGCACTTGGAATTGCAAAATTCATCTTTATTCAAATACACTGGCTCATAGATTACGTAGTGGAGTTTGCTTTTGGCCTGTACTATGGCAACAAAGCGCAAAAAGTTCCATCAGTAAAAAATAAATTGTTGCTAGAAAGCACAGTTTCGTTAGCTAAGAAAATCAGGTAGGTGTATTAAATATTAGTGCACAAAATTTGTAAAATGTATATTTAATTCGTGATTATTACAATTATTATGTGTAGGGAAAAAAACATAAGCTCTGAAGAAGTTGTAAAGGCTTTTATTGAGAGATGCAAGGAAGTTAATGGATTACTAAATGCAGTTGTAGAAGAAAGATATAAGGAAGCTATTAAAGAAGCTCAGGAAGTGGATAATATGCTGAAAGATGAACAATTGGACATTGAACATTTGGAAAAAAGTAAGCCACTGCTTGGGGTCCCATTTACTACCAAAGAAAGCAACGAAGTCAAAGGTAAAAATGTCTTTGATAGTATATGGGTAAATGAAATTGTGTTAATAACTTTTTTTTTTATCTAGACTTGCTTCATTCAATGGGTACATTAAGTAGAAAAGGCCACCGTTCTAGTGAAGATGCCACAGTGGTCAAGTATGTAAAAGAAGCTGGTGCAATTATCATTGGTAAAACAAACATCCCTGAGCTGAATCAGTGGATCGAGTCACGAAATTACATTTATGGTCAAACAAACAATCCATACAACACAACGAGAACAGTTGGTGGAAGCAGTGGAGGTGATGCAGCGATTGTGGCAGCATGTGGAGTTCCATTTGCAGTTGGCAGTGACATAGGTGGATCTATTAGAATACCAGCTGCCTGGAATGGAGTTTTTGGAATGAAGCCCAGTGAAGGTGAAATTAATTATTTTAAAGCGCTTAACTTGTATTAATTGTTAGGGTAAATTATAAAAATGTTATTATTTTTCAGGCATGACTTCTATGAAGGGAATAGGATTAAGGAAGAAAGATTACCTAGAATCAATGGCAGAAGCTGGTCCATTGTGTAAAAAAGCTGAAGACTTGGAGATGTTGGTCAAAATTTTTTCAGGGCCACTCCTCAAAGCCCCCATAAATACTCAAATTGACTTGAAAAAATTGCATATCTTCTACCAAGAGAGTTCAGGTGATTTGAGAGCCAGTCAACTTAGCTTTGCAGCTCACAATGCTGTAATTAAAGCAGCTAAACATTTTGAACAACTCACTGGATCAGCAACAAAGGTATATTCAAATGTTCATTCATTTGACATCACGAATAAAGTAGTAGGAAACAAGTTCTTGTAGACTCTTAAACATTTTTAGATAACATTACCAGGATCAGAGTACAGTTTCCGTTTATGGCGTTATTGGATGACTCAAGAAGATGCTGACTTCACAGCAGATTTAACCAACAACAAAGTAATTATAATGCGCATTATGTTGATAATAGAAGTTTAAAATACACGCTTTGATATATGCTCTTGGGATTTTAATTAGGGACACACAAGTGCTATTGCTGAAATTTGTAAAGCATTGCAAGGCAATAGGGAAGTGACTCTAGCAGCTCTGTTGAAATTAATAGATCACGATTTTTTTCCAAAAGAAAATGAACAATGGGCAAAAAGCGTTACTGAAAATATGAAAAGTTATTTGATTGTAAGTATACTTTTTAATTATGAAAGCATGAATAATGCAATACCGTAGTCTTTTTTATATGTAGTTTGTAATTTTTTTTTTTCTTTTTTTTTCTATGTATCATAAATGTTATGTAAGTGTTAAGTTACGTTGTTAATATTAGTAAAAATTTGGATTTAACGATTTTTTTAGGAAAAACTGGGAGACAACGGTATATTATTGTATCCTACGTTTAATTCAGCACAATATCATAATCAACCATACTTCAGTCCGTTTAGTTTTGGCTATTGGGCACTATTTAATGTCTTAAAAGTCCCAGTCTGCCAAGTACCAATGGGTTTGGATGAAAAAGGAATGCCAATCGGCATTCAGGTAATTTTATGAAAAACAAAATAATGTATTGAAAATTATAGATACAGTATTTTAATATTAANTCCTCTCATGTTTGACCGCATGGGCCGTGCATAGCACGTGTTATTTCCTTTATTTGAAAAAAAAAAAAAAAAATCGGTAAACAACAAAGAGAGTAAATTAAAGCAGAGTATCCATATAATTGCGCGTTATGGGTATACTGTGCTTGTGCATCGGGAATGAGTACAAGTGATGATTGACGTTTATCACCCAATTCTGGTGTGGCATGATCGTCATATCTATACGACATTACATGCCTGGCGACGGCATTTTCTCCTGTACGTATACACGTATGCACCATCCATACATACATACATGCTATGAGATAAATATAAATTCTTACACGTGTGTGGCTGATCGGTAGTATTATTTTAGTATACACATGTATTTATACACGTACATAATGTTATCTGTACAGTCGAACCTCGGTACATGTAAAACAAGTACTGTACTTATATCCACCAAAGCATAGCGGATACGGAACGATGAAAAAAAGTAAAATTAAGCCAAAGCAGCAAACTGAGAGAGGATCGGTAAAGAAAAAAAAAAAAAATAAAAAAAAAAAAAAAAAAAAAAAATATATATATATATATTTATACCTGCTTACAAATACAAAAAGAAAAAGAGAGAGACAACTCGACAAAGGCGAGTCAGTGATACATACGTATAATGGGTACAAATATACACTTTTCCCACGCTCTCGAGCCCGCACTATAAATATACTCCAATACTAATCCCACGCAAAGTATATTCAGTATAAGAACATCGAAAGAAGCAAGTGCGACATACAACTCTCTCTTTCAAAGGATAACAATACATCATATAAATGTGCGGGTGCGCTTTTCCTTTTTCAACGCATCCTCATTGTTACTTGGAGGCTTATTTTTACTCTTTCTCTCTTATCTCCGCAGCTCTCTCTTCCCGCTTTTGCCGTTTCACTATTATACGGATGGCGGCCGTATCTATACATATATACTGTATAAGTATACCTACCTACTTACTTACTTACTCTCCGAAAAATCGTGAATCTCCGTGCGCTGTTTGCTCTCCCTCTTGCGTCTCCGTGCTGTCTCTATATTCACCAAAGTACACCTACTTTCATACCCGTACGAAAAAAAAACAACTCGTTCCTCTTTCTTTTTGTATTATTATTATTTTTTTTTATTTTTTATTATTATACCCTCGAGTACTTGAAAAATGTTGTCCTCAACTATTTGACGACAAACGACAGTGCACGCAAGTGCCATATGCTCAATGCCAGAAAATTGTGGCTAATGTAATTATTTTGTTAAAAAATAAACTGTTTTTACATAAAAATAAATTTTAAAGTTTCTGTTGGTCATTTTTTTTGCTATCTGTTTCTTTTCTGTTTCGTTTCTGCTGTTTTAACTGGCCAGATTACGGAATAGAGCGCCAGTTAATTCAAGGTAGTTGGCTTACCGACTTGACGGTAACGTAGAGCGCAACCTAAATTACTTGCTGGTGACGATTGCGGAAAACACCCATAACTTCACGTATATTTTACGTATCTTATCCTATTTATTTGTTTTTGTGCACTCATACTTGTTCTTGTGCACGCTCATGTGTTTTTATGCAGATGTCGTGACCGGACTTCCGTAGCTATATATATATAGGTATGCCCACTTTCGCACACCATATCTCACAAAAAATTTTGTCTGCTAGTCATCTGACATTTAATGTCAACAAACAAGGCTGAGAGAGTGTTGACGTGTGTTCCTTATAAAAAGGGCATATTAAACAGTGTAGTTATTAAAATGCAGTCGCAATTGTGCATTTAATTTTTTTTCTACTAATCATAATAATAGAGATAAGCTGAAAAATGGAAAATTCTACGAAAATATCAAAGGAGAAGCGATCGAAAAAGCAACCAGATTCGCAAAATAACCTCAAAGGTATAGATAAGCTTATAAATTTTATAACTATAAAAGACAATATGTTATTTATATTAGCTGTATTGTTGTACTTATCATAGACATGGAAGAACTCAGTAGCAGTAAAGATGAGTTGCAAGTGAGTGTTTTTTTGGCTATAGAAAATTTTCTGTAGAGAAAGGATCATGTTTGTTGTCAAATTCTTTTCATTATAGACTCAATCACCAAATATTGTTGCCAAAAACGATGATGCAGAAGATACGGTTGAGGATTTGCAAAAACAACTCGAAACTCTGATGAATTCTTTAGCTGTACTGTCAGCAGAAAAGTCAAGAATGGAAGCGAATTTTCAGAGCGAAAAGAAACAAATCAGAAGTGAACGTGAGGAGGTAAAGTTATATGAATAAAATAGAATTTTTATAACTTAAGCGTGAGACGATAATAGAGCACTTTTTACAGTATGAAAGAGGAATAAAAAATATGAAAGAAAAAATAAAGAGAATTCACGGTCATGCTACATCAGAAGTTGAACATTTCAAGTATAAGTTAATTATGGAGCGCCATGAAAGAGAAAAAGAACAAGCTGATCATGCGCAGGCTACAAAGTGATTACCCTTCTATTGTTTTTTTTTTTTTTTTGGTGAGGTTAAATCGTATGCATTAAAAAATTTTGATTTTTAGAGAACTGCAAAAAATAATCCGTAATGAGCAAAAAGCAAGAGAACAATTAGAAATGCAAGTGAAGGAATTGAAAAGTAGTGTGTCAACCAAAACCCAAAATAAAATTCTTGAAGCGGAACTCGATGTTCTGAAAAATAAACTGAAGCAAGCAGAAGCGGTGGCGAATGAAACTCCTACCATGTTGTTGAGCCTTCAATCAGAAATGTCATCGATGAAAAAGAAGCACAGAAATGCCATCATCGAGGTAACGTAAAACTATTCTTTCCAATGTCATATACTTTTCATTGTGTTGCTTTTAAATTATTATTTTAATACAGGAACAAAAAAGAGCTGCAGCTGCTGAACAAGAGGCAAAGGCTTTAGCTGCCAGTCACGAATCAAGAGTCGTTGGCTTAGAGGCTCGACTTGCGGAGTTATCAGATATCGTTGGAGGCTACGATAGATTACGTCAGCAAGATCAAAAAGCAATCTATAAGCTTAAAGATCAACTGAATGAGTTACAAAGTAATAAAAAGTTTGATAATCATGACAGTCCCCAAGAACTGGCAGAAAAAATAAAAAATCTCTATTTTCAGTTGTTAGAATTAGATAAAGATAATTCATGTGCAAATATCAAAGGTAATGATTGTGTTGTTGTTGTCGGATTATATTTTTGTAACAATATTCATGAAGCGATGTTTTTTCAGATTTATTAAATAATTTAAAACTGTGTGATAAAAGTCAAGATATCGTGTACAAAGGAAAGTATGAGGCTGTATTAACGGAATTGGAGGCATTAAAAGTGAATATGGCTCCAAAAAATTCACAAAGTCACGAAAACGATGATACACAATTACACAAAGAAAAATCTCACGCAAAGAATTTGGAGGAAAAATTACGCATGCTGGTCATCGAGATGACCAAAAAGGAAAAAGACTTTAAAACAAAATTAGAAAAACAAGAGCAGATGATGCAAGAGCATTGTTTGAAGACCGAGCAGTTGTTGGCGCAAAAAAATAACGAGTGCCTGAACAAAATAGCAACTTTGGAGCAGCAACTCTTGAAGCAGCGTGAACGCTCACTGTCCGTGATACAGGAGAAGGATAAAGAAATTCACATGCTCAAGTCAACCTTTGACGTTTTACTTTCGAGAAAAAATATATCGGAGTTTGGTGGTCAATCGTCGAGCTTTTCTTCAAAGCAGGGCAGTTTGAAGAACGAGGCCATCGATTTGACATCCGGACTCTTGACGGCCGACAACAATACTCCTATGATTTATTACACGCAAGAGCTTGCGAGGAAAGAAGTTCAGATTTCCGGCTTACGGAAGCAAAACATGCAACTGGAAGCAACTATCCGCGAACTCGAGAGAAATTCATTTCGCTTTGCAGAAAAGCACGAAGAAGAAACTAAGAAATTGGACGCTCAGATAAAAAGGTAGGATGATGCATGTGCAAGCAATTATTACGATGGTAAAATTGAAGTAAATGGTTCGAATGGTCGAATGAACGTTATTTTCAGGCTCGAAGCGTCCAAATCGCGGGAAGGAGCAAATCTCGAGTACTTGAAAAATGTTGTCCTCAACTATTTGACGACAAACGACAGTGCACGCAAGTGCCATATGCTCAATGCCATTACTACGGTCTTGCGTTTCACGGGGGAAGAAATCGATAAGCTCGCAAAGCATAAATGACGATAGCCTTTTCTAATTGAACGATATTACGCATGTATCCCAGTTGCGGGCCGCAACTCTCATGCACCAAGATTTTTCGGAGGGATGCACCAATCATCGATCTGTGTAAATATGTACATGTATACTTGTAAAATATATGCTATAATAAATTTGTAAATATCACTGTAAAGCGCAATCATGAAGAAAAGTTCATTGTAGAAGAGAAAAAAACGAGTATTGCAAAATGACCCGTAATGAGAGGACTGCCCGAACGCGTTAAATATTGCCGTCTTGAACGCTCATCGACCGGAGTTGGCAGTACTCGTACAGGTATACATACAGCGAAAGAGAACTTACGTATATAGGAAACGAGCCGTACGTGTACCTGCAGGAAGAAATGGCAGAGAAGAGAAGGTGAAACGAAGCGCGTGTTGGGTGTGACTCCGCGGCTGTTATTGGTATATACCGGTACTTATGTGTACACCTATCTTATGTCCTATTCGTAATGCCGAACGATAAGTTCTTACGGCTTATAGGTAAATGAGCTTATAAAAAGCCGGACGGAGAGAGAGAGAGAGAGAGAGATCCGTGTCAATAAACTTGGATCTGGCACGACAGCCCAAGAGCTATCGACAGCTCTCCGTGGGTCTCTCTCCTTTATGCCGATCCTCTCTCGCGTGTATATATACTCGGACTCGTAAGCTGCATACTTATGTGTGGTGTATCCGGCTCTATATATACCTCTTTCCCGATGCAGTTTTTAGCAGGATTGTTCTTCCTTTCCTGCTTAATATTTCTCTCTTCGGTTCCTTTGTTATGCCTACGTTTGTCCCCCAAGTAATAACATTTGTTATTATTGTTTTCCTTCACCTTTGTCAATCAAGACGTTTGTCTTTAACACTTGCGATTTCATTTTTTTGCCATACTCGTGGAATCTCTTTTCAGCGGCTCATCCTGTATACCGATCAATCCATAATATGGATGTAATTGGAACTCCCAACGTGACAAACGAGTGCCTCTTATTTATTATATATCGTTTGATGATGTCGAAAATGGCTATACCATAAATCTGATCGCACGTGCCATATACGTATTTCGAAAGTAATAAATGTATGCAAATATTACAATACTATCCGTCATCATAATCGTCATGTGCTTTTAAACACATATATAGGTATGATATTGTACAGGACGAAAGACTCGAGAGTCGCGATATATACATCGATCAATCTTTCAAAGTAAGTAGGTGAAAAGTAAGACAAACGCATGCTAATGCGCTGCACGCGATCGAGCTTGTATGTGCACATAAAAGAGCAATCGGTTGAAAGCGCGCTCGGATCTAGCATTTATAGAAGTAACATGTAGGTGTACGTATAAAATAAGAGGTGCAGTTAGCAGCACGTGCGACTTTAACTTTTTCACTTTTCCTATAACATTACCGAGCCTCTCTCCCTCTTTCTCTCTACCTTGACTGTATTTTATGTGTCTCCGTATATCACCGCACAAGCCGCTCACCGTTTATAATATGTGTGTCCGGTTGGAACTGTAAGTAAGTTATACACATATACAGCCGCACCTTGCGAGAGCACTTGAAGCCATATTTGACACATATCATATTATATAGTTTTCATGCTGAGTGATCAGTATTGAAATCGGTATGTATGTAATTTGCTTGCCTTTATCGCCCTTGTCGTCATCGAAAGCTTTTCGTATTTGATTTATTCCTTAATATATCGGTTGGAATGGCGGTTTTTTTTGTTGACGCGTTTCGAAAATCGGATACGTCATAGACTGTATAGATCGCTCGCCTGTATAGGATCGATCGAAATCAAACGATATTATAATCCATGTAAATATTCTTTCAAGACGTTGTTTTGCTCGAAAGGGTTTATTTACGATTTTGTAATTTTGAACTTAATAACAATACGAGATCGGTATGTAATAAAACCTAGTATTATTTGTTTTTGCGATTTTTTATCATTACATCATTAATGGGTACAATTTTTTTTTTTTTATGCAGCTTTTTGCGAAATATAATTCGACGTGTACAGCTTGAATATTATACAGAGCGTGAAAGGCAAAGAGCTCTCTTTCCGTATTGACCTACAAATAGTTGTAAATCTCAAACTCGAGATGCGAATCTGTCCTTTTTTTTTCTTTTTCATTTTTTCTATCCATTTCGTGACGCGTGGATGGAAATGTTATTTGATTTTTAAAAATTTTTTTATTTTTTTATTTTTTTACAGGTTGAAAAATAATATAGTACCAATAAGAAATGTCATCGATGAAAAAGAAGCACAGNAGGAATAAACCCGTATAATCAAATACCACTAACGAAAGGTGATGATTCATTCGAGTACTGAAAAAAAAAATATATATATATATATTTATACCTGCTTACAAATACAAAAAGAAAAAGAGAGAGACAACTCGACAAAGGCGAGTCAGTGATACATACGTATAATGGGTACAAATATACACTTTTCCCACGCTCTCGAGCCCGCACTATAAATATACTCCAATACTAATCCCACGCAAAGTATATTCAGTATAAGAACATCGAAAGAAGCAAGTGCGACATACAACTCTCTCTTTCAAAGGATAACAATACATCATATAAATGTGCGGGTGCGCTTTTCCTTTTTCAACGCATCCTCATTGTTACTTGGAGGCTTATTTTTACTCTTTCTCTCTTATCTCCGCAGCTCTCTCTTCCCGCTTTTGCCGTTTCACTATTATACGGATGGCGGCCGTATCTATACATATATACTGTATAAGTATACCTACCTACTTACTTACTTACTCTCCGAAAAATCGTGAATCTCCGTGCGCTGTTTGCTCTCCCTCTTGCGTCTCCGTGCTGTCTCTATATTCACCAAAGTACACCTACTTTCATACCCGTACGAAAAAAAAACAACTCGTTCCTCTTTCTTTTTGTATTATTATTATTTTTTTTTATTTTTTATTATTATACCCATGTAAAATTTTAAAAAGTACTCTTGAACAGTTTTTTTTTTTTTTTTTTTTTTTTTTTAATTTTCACGGAAGGTAACTTTGGAGGAAAAATTATGTCCCTCTGATCCAATTACCCCGTAGCCGCAATGCCAAACGCGCTTTGGTTAAATTGATTCTCAAAACAATCGAGGTTTCTTGACCACTCGGAGAATTAATGAAAATCCAACTTTCGACATTTTTCTTCCTTTTTACATCAATATTAAGAAATAATAAAGAAACCTTACTCGATTCTCTCATATTTTCCCTTTAGCGCCAAATAGTAGCAATTACACGGGCAATTGCCTCTACCTTTTAAAAAACAACGAAACAAACATTATTTTAAGATACACTAAAGTTACACGTAAATAACATGTATTATTATTATTATTATTACTATTATTGTTATTATTAACATTATTGTTATTATTATTATTATATCTTGTAAAGAAAAAACAAAAAAAACCTCTTTTGCGAGAACGCCGTATTTACGTAAAAATCGAAATGTCACTCGATACGCTTTATACACACACGAAATAAAACAAATCGAACGGGACTACATATTTTACAAAATATATCATGTAGTTGTCAATAACCACGACTCGTTTGAATCGACGGCGCATACAAAAGTAGAGCGGACGTCCGCTGCTATAAAAAATAAAATGCACTTATCGTACTTCTACTAAAAATTAATGGTACCCGTGCGTGTTTGACGATTTTCTTATTTTTTTTTTTTTTCTTTTCCATCGATACATTGAACAAAATCGAGCCGCTCTTACGTAATCAGATAAATCTCTACTGAATAAGAAATGAAGCAGCTATAGCACACTTGATTTGTTCTCTCCCGCCTGTGCACCCCTTTTAAGCGTCTGTCTCTCTCTCTCTTTGCTCGAGAAAACCTGAATCGACCGCGGGGTACATCGGCACATGTAGAAACGTATAAGTATATCCTGGCAGTCCTAAAACTATATACTTATGCCTCTACAAAATACACACACGTGTGCCTTACCCCCTCGAGCGCGCCCCCGCAACGCAAGTCCGTTCCCCTCTCTTGGCCACCTTTTATGAATGAAAAACCTTGACGGTGTTTTCAATTCATAGTCTATATCGAGGGAGCGCGTTGGTCGCGCGTGCAAAATTATTTTTTTTAAATTTATTTAAGCAATTTTAATCTCTAATCGAGATTATTTTGCCACATCTTTGGATATTTACAATTTGAGATTACAATCTGTGAAGAAATTGTAAATCGCTTTACATATTATTGTTTTCGGATCATGAAGAAGAGTGTTTACATTTTTAGGGTGGTTTAACCCTGAACGCTGTATAATATCCATAAATTTGGTGCGTTGATCGCTACGTAGGGGACATTTACAAAGTACGTGGTTTAGATCTTGTTCTTTATAGCCACATTCACATTTTGAATCATTGATTAGGGGCCAATGCGAGCCAAGGAAGCATTGAGAGAGTAATTATTAGCTCGACATCTATTTATTGTACTGACTACTTCTCTTTTTAAGTCTTTTTGGGCAAACCATGGTTTGGTGGAGTTTTTGTAAAAATGGGAGAAATAATCAGTTCCTTTTTGAGTGCTGGTTTGAATAAGAAAATTTACTGTTTTCTCGAAGGCTTTTTCTTGAGCAATTTGTTTTAAGTCAGTGAAAGGAATACGAAAAGGTGATGTCGGTTCGAGTAAAGATGCCTCCTTGGCTCTCAGGTCTGCCATTTCGTTACCGAGGATGCCTCTATGCGCAGGTACCCAAAAAAATTTTATTTTGCTGCCATTTGTAGAATATTTATTGCATTCAAGAGTTCTCTTTTTAATTTCAAGAATGAAGGGGTTTGTTTTTATGTTAAACTTAGTACTTTGAAGGGATGTTATCGAACTGAGAGAGTTACTTAATACAATAAAATTTCTATTCCGGTGAGTTGAGGCTAGCTTGACAGCATTCAATATGGTGATAAGTTCAGCAGTATAAATAGATGCGCTTTTATTTAGGCCACAGGTAATAGTTTTATTTAATGCTGGGCAAACAGATGCACAACCGACAGAGATAGAGTCGCTAGATTTACTACCATCTGTATATATACAGGTCGCATTTAAGCTGTTGATATAATCTTGTAGTGATCCATTTAGTTCAGATAGGCTTTTGCTTTTGTGATTTTTGAAAAATTCAGTGTTGACCTCCAAGCTACTTATAAAAGTCTTGTAGTCTATTTGAAAGATTGGGTAATTATGACTGGAGTATAAATTTAATGTCTCTATATTAAAGTCTTTTAGTTTCGTAGTGATAAGTCTTTTGCACTTTACGAGGTTTATATTATCTAGTTTCCTTTTAAGTTTAGAGGCAATTTTATATATAAGTGAAATCACTGTTAGAAAAAACCTTCTGTAAGTAGCATTCATACAAGAACTGTACGCGATCTCTTATAGGCATTAACTTTGACTCGGCTAACAGAATATGTACAGGAGTAGAGATTATGTATCCCATACATGCTCTGATAGCGGCTTATTGAATCTTTTCTAGCTTTTCCATTTGTACTGCCTGAGTAGGGTAATAAATAAAGCATCCGTAGTCAATGATGGAACGCACGAAACTCCTGTACATAATCAGCAAAGTTTCTTGTCTTGTTCCCCACAAAATTCCTCTAGAGAACTTAAGGATATTCATGGATTTTAGACATTTTTTTAGATTTATATCAGTGTGTTTACGGAAGGTTAATTTTGAATCAAAGTGAATGCCAAGAAAACGAATGGATGAACTGTTTTTAATTAAATTATTTTTAATATTTAGGCAAATGGATACTTCTGGGGCCGAAACTTTGCTGAAAGGTACGAAGACAGTTTTGAATAGAATAATTTCTAGGCCTAGTACAAAGAGATTGTTATGTATAAGATTCGTAGCTCTTTCCAGTAAGTTTTTACAATTTTTGCGATTGCACCATAAAGCAATGTCGTCGGCGAATTTAGAAACAGTGACGCTTTTGGGTAGNTTTTTTTTTTTTTTTTTTTTCCCGAGGGCGAGCACCGGTTTCACACGCGATCGGAAGCAGCAGCAACATGTCCCACCATCAGCTACCACCCATATATATACCTACGTACATAGTGTACAGGTTTCGATTTCTGCTGCCATAATACTCCAGCTCTTACTTCGCTTGTGTATACACAGTAGGTACGCTCGTGTACCGCTATAACGCCGCAATTGGCCTTTTCCACCGCCCCTCTCCTTGCCGCGGTGAAAAGGATCTTTGCTCTCGTTGCCGATCGTTTCGCTGCATCAGCTTTATATATACGTAATTAATGCTCGGTTTCGTTTGATCGTGATTTATATACGTAAATCTACGTATTTTAATGATTTGTGTATAAGGTATGTAAAATCATAAGTTAACGGTTGCATGGGTTTTTTAGGGGGGTTTTTCAACCGATACCACGATAGGTCATTCTAACGAATCGGATGGTCTGACACGATTATACCTTACAAAAATAAGTTGGACATTATTGGCGATAAAAATCCGAAAGACATACGATGCGCGTCAAGACAATCATCACCGATCAAAGCTCTCTTTCTTTCTTTTTTCTGCCGATTTGATTTTAGCTCTCTCTTTCCCGTACTTATGTACATATATATGTATGTGTATACATGTAAAAAAAAAAAGAAAAAACCTGCGTCAGTCCTGTATAGCTTTCTTTCTCGCTTTTACGCCGCGCGGGCGTGACGATCCGAAAAGAAAGACGACGATCGTTAAGTGCTCTTTCTACTCTGCTATATATTTTCATGGGTACCTATATATGTATATGTACAGCTCTCGGCCGGATGATGCGGCGGCGGAGTCAGTGTAATGGCCCTCCCCGGTGGGCAACTCCGAACCCTCGCATACATACGTGCATGTATATACAAGAGCTCTCTCCGTTCCGCGGGGGGGATCTCGCGCCGGTCGCGAGAAAGAGCCGCGAGCGCTGAGAGGCATAAGGCTCGGAAAGCCTCGGAAGCGCGCCAGTTGGTCAATGAGACTCCGTTGCCGCCGCTGCTGGGTCGTGGAGCAGCGTGCATGCACGCTTTTTTTTTTTTTTTTTTTTTTTCAAGATTTTGGCAGTGAGATGGTTAAACGCTTTTAGGAACTGCTCTTTTTTTTTTTTTTGTTTTTTTTTTTTTATAATTTGTTTACATAAATACGCGCGAGGAGAATTTTCAAACGGCTACAGGGTGTTGGAGAGTTACAAATGATGAAACTGGTGTGCGAGTGATTGTTATTTTTTGTTGTTGCTGTTGGTGTAAAACTATGCGTGCAGACAAAAGCACGTGCGAGCCTGCGACCCGCAAAAGCTTGCGGAGCTTTTGTTGATAGGAGCAGAGGCGTTGTTGATCGAGCTTTTCGGGAATATCCCTATTAAGAGCAGTTATCCGACTGCGGAGGTGGAATATCGTTAGTCCGTACAGGTGTGCCGATTTTCCTGCGAGCAGGGACCGGCAAAGGAGAGCCTCGAAATGACGATCTCGGGAAAGGTAAGTTGCACGCACAGTACATGTATTTCTAAAATTGTGTAGGTACTACGTGTTTTGTGGTGGCAATCGGTATAGATCGGTATTGGAAAACAAGAGAGCCGGTTCCTCTCATGTTTGACCGCATGGGCCGTGCATAGCACGTGTTATTTCCTTTATTTGAAAAAAAAAAAAAAAAAATCGGTAAACAACAAAGAGAGTAAATTAAAGCAGAGTATCCATATAATTGCGCGTTATGGGTATACTGTGCTTGTGCATCGGGAATGAGTACAAGTGATGATTGACGTTTATCACCCAATTCTGGTGTGGCATGATCGTCATATCTATACGACATTACATGCCTGGCGACGGCATTTTCTCCTGTACGTATACACGTATGCACCATCCATACATACATACATGCTATGAGATAAATATAAATTCTTACACGTGTGTGGCTGATCGGTAGTATTATTTTAGTATACACATGTATTTATACACGTACATAATGTTATCTGTACAGTCGAACCTCGGTACATGTAAAACAAGTACTGTACTTATATCCACCAAAGCATAGCGGATACGGAACGATGAAAAAAAGTAAAATTAAGCCAAAGCAGCAAACTGAGAGAGGATCGGTAAAGAAAAAAAAAAAAAAAAAAAAAAAAAAAAAAAAAAAAAAAAAAAAAAAAGAACAAGATACTTGTGATGAATAACAATTATACGAAGAGGAGCAACAGCGCGTGCAGGGGGCACGTTTTATATATACATACAGAGGTGGGGCGGAGGCTCGGTTGTATACGTGTATATACGCGTTGTTATATTGTTGCGTTTCTGCGTGACGTAAATGCGATTCTCGGCGGACGAAAGCGCGTGTAGTGACGAAACATGCAGCCGTGCGTATAGCTTTTTTTTTTCTCCTCTCGTTCGTGGTGCTGCCGGCGATATTACACAAATCTTTACGAGACACAAATATATACGTATATACTTTATGTACAAGGTGGTTAGACTGAAGGAAAAAAAAAAGTTGGAGAGGAGGAATCGCGTGATCAGGCTTACACTGTCGTCGCTACTGTTTTTTTTCTTCTCCTTCATTTGTTTGTTCATTTTTTTCGTCGAAGCACTTGTATTTTCACTTCGACAGGTGCATTGTATTTTGTTGATGCGCATCAATCGGAAGGGGAGGGGGAATCCATATCGCGATTTATCGTACATCGCATGTATAACTGTTTATAATACATACTGTGCTACCTTATACGCGTACATAATATTACACCAAACGATTACGATTGCGATACCGATTCGATCACGTATGCCCCCAAAGAGGAGGGATATGTATGTGTAGGAAGACGTTCGGTTTTTCGATCTCCGTTGCGAAATTTTGATGTCATTGGTTCGGTAAGCGATGGGGAAACTTTTCCGCCGAGCCCCCTGCTGTTGGGCATTTCTTTCGATTGTATCGAAAAAATATACTTACCCGTCAAGTTTTTAAGCCCGTGCAAATATACCGGTGTGCCATATTTTTTTTGAAAATATTCACCGCGTGTTGATGGATTTTCTTTTTTTTTTGTTCTTACACGTTATTACGGGAACTTTGGTTTTTTTCAAACTGATGGACGTCTATAAAAACGTACGTATAGTTTGAACCGATTCGAGTCTTTGTCGTAAATATATTATTCTTATTTATGCAATATAATATGTATTTGAGTATATCTACATGTATACGACGTGTCCTAGTGGTTTTACACGTACAACATCGTTAAAAGTATATATAAGTGTAAGTACTCCAAATAATGAAATTGCCCCGGCGGCGACAAATCACGAATTAAACGTTACATTAAAATTAAACGAGAAATAACACGATCGATGATTCGCAAGCGAGGAGAAAGCAGCGGTGTATGTATGATATATAGACTGTATGGACGTGCCACGGGGCACCGAAGAGCCGCGAGTTGGTGTGCAGCATCATCGCGGCAGCGGTGCACGCACCTGTTTTTCACCCGCGGTCCCGCTACTTTCACCGCATCACGCGCTCACCGATAGATCCGCCTCGCACATGTATATGTATATACATGTGCTCTCTATTATACTGTTGCCGTGTGCCGTGTCCCCCTCCGCGCTGAGTTTCTCTTTACTCGATTTTGCTACAATATACACGTACTTAGGTATATACATACTTATATATTTTGTACCTTATTACATGCTTTTGAAGCATTTTCATTATTTTGCAGCTTTTTTACGTACCTGCTTTTTCAAGAAAATGTTATAAGATTTTCGATTTTTCATTTTATTGAAACAAAAAAAAAAAAAAGTATTCACTCGCACAGCAATATGTCATACACGCAATCATATATGCACTTCTGTGCCAATAAAATTCCATGTGTAACCGTATCGTTATTGTTAAGATCGTTTTTATATTCTACTTTTTATTTATATTTTGTCGTCTTCGATCGAATTGTTAATTGGTATCATATAACACACATTATGTGTACGTATTTGCACATCATACTACATGTTACATGATGTACTCGATTATCAATTTCCTGCTTCATTCTAATGATTTAAACAATATAATTATTTTGCACAAATGACGAGCATATCGAGCTTCGAAAGGTACGTATCTTTACAATTGCCAATTGTTACAGCGGAGATGTAAAAAAAAAAAAAGCGTCCATATTTAAAAGTTCAAAAAGAGCGCATGTATACATTGTTATATTTCATGAGCAGTGTAAAACTAACGCAATTAAACCCCCCAAATTGTTCTTCGTACCCACGATTGTATTAACGTGCTTTTGTTCACGATTGCTCGCGATGACGATATGCACAGAAGTACGTGGAGTGCACAGTCCTGGGAAACGGCGGCGGAGCCGAGGCTGAGGATTCGTCCTACGACAGTGACTTCGAGCCCGAGGCCGATCACCCGTGCCCGTCGTCGCACCGGGTCGCCGAGCATCCACCGAGCACCAACGACAAACCGCACCCGGACGTGTCGCGCGCCAACTCCGACACCTTGGCCGCGGAGTTCGCCGAGTACGTGACGGTCCACGGAAGCCTCACCAACGGCATCGCCGTCGACCCGGCTCTGGTCACCAGTGCCCCCGGTAGGTCAAGTCATTACAGTATACCCGATCATTGAAATAAACAATATGTACATGGGTGATGATGTATGTTAAACGTATGGCCAGGGTACGCAGCTCGGGTCGAGTTTGGCCTGAAGTTGGGCTACACGGAGCGACTGGTGCAGACGGCCCTGCAGAAGCTGGGGCCCGAGCCGGGCCAGAACGAGCTCCTCGCCGAGCTGATAAAGCTGGGGGCAAACACGGCGCCGAGACTGGTGGACGCGCCCGACGAGAGCGAACCGTCCCTGGAGCACGTCGGTGGTGAGGATGGGCCTTGCGGGTCGGACGAGTCCTCGGAGATGGTCGGCAGCAGCCACCGTTTGCGGCCCGTTGTCATTGACGGTAGCAACGTCGCAATGAGCCACGGGAACAAGGAGGTCTTCTCGTGTCGGGGCATCAAGGTGTGCGTCGAGTGGTTCCGAGCCCGGGGACACCGGCAGATCACCGTCTTCGTGCCAAAGTGGCGCAAGGAGGCCTCCCGGCCCGACAACCCCGTCGCCGATCAAGAGATACTCGGCGAGCTCGAGCGCGACCGGCTGCTCGTGTTCACGCCTTCGAGGTATACACATGCATATACGTTTTATCGAGTGAACTGTGGTTTTTCTTCTTTTTTTTTTCAATAACTTGGATAAACTTTTCGCAATGCAGACTGGTGGGTGGCAAGCGGCTGGTGTGCTACGACGATAGATACATCCTCAGGTATATAACTATATACATATTTTTATACACGTTGGTTGTAACTTCTCTAAATTGGTTGTTTTTGTTTGTCAGGCTCGCCTCGGAGCTCGACGGCATCGTGGTCAGCAACGACAACTACCGGGACCTGGCCCAGGAGAGTCCCGAGTTCCGGAGGGTGGTCGAGGAGCGGATCCTCATGTACAGTTTCGTCGACGACCGGTTCATGCCGCCGGACGACCCACTGGGCAGGACCGGGCCCACCCTCGACAACTTCCTCAGGATGGCTCCACGGCGAAGCGAGCCCGCACCACCTTGTCCCTACGCAAAGGTTGGTATACAGTGGAAGCTTTCAATTTCCTTTCTTTATTCTCTCATATACTTATATACAACGATACACGACATGATCTAAGCATGGAAAATTGAATAGAAATGCACGTACGGCAACAAGTGCAAGTTCCGGCACCCGGAGCGCGGTCCCCATCCGCACAAGTCCGTGACCGAGCGACTGGTGGAGCACGCGCGACTCCTGGGAGCTCGCTCGGCCAGCCTGAGTCTACCGCTCGCCGCTCCGGGCCAACACTCGTCCCTGACCAAGACCAGGTCCTGGACTCCGGGCGCCTGCGACTCCTCGACGAGCGCACCGAGTATTGCCGCCAACCAAACAAAGAGCTGCAGAGCCGACGTCCCAACCATGAACGTCTACCCTCAGAATTCCCCACAAGGTGAGTGGTGAGGTGTGCGTGGCTGGAAATTGGAGAGTACAGAAAGTATTGTTATTATTAATATTATCTCATCGATGGAACAAATATATGTACATGCAGGGGCTTCGCTGGGCTGGGTAGCCCCGAGAATGTCGAACCCCGAACCAGAGCCCGCCAACATGCACAGGAAACTGCAGCGCCAGCTGACGCTCAATCCGAGCTGCGATCCCCGTATCGGTCAGCTTCGCAGGTATCACCACAATCAACAGATGCACCACCAGCTGCAGCCACAACAGCTGCTCGTCGGTCCGTCGCGCTCCGCGGCTTTGCAGAGCCGGCAGTTGACGAGGCACGCGAGCCACGAGGCACACCCTGGTGCACCCACCGCAAGGTTTGTAATTGACAATCAGTTTTTCTCATGTATTGTATGTACTTGGTGTATATCAAAAAGGTTTCATTGCTCACGTCGTTATTATTGTCATTCAGCTGGGAGCAGCGGCAATTCCAGCGAGTCCACGTGACGCGCATGGCTTCGGCTCCGGATACCGCAAGAGCGGCTTGGTTGGACATTGGCGCTGCTACTGTCCCAACTGGTCGGCGGCTTGGCGCCTCGGAGCCCCACCTGAACTTGCTCGGTCCATCACCGATGCATCATCATCCGTGTCATCCGGATGGCGATCCTCAGCGTATGTGCGCCGCTGTATTTGCGATATTTCCGAAATACCGGGACTTTAGCGGTTAAACTTTCAATCTCACTATAATGTCAGAGAGACGCAGTTGCTGCGTGCGTGCGTGAGCAGGAACGTTGACAAGCAATTGTAAAACCTTTTCCCAAGTTCTTGCGTAAAATCCTTTACAGCGGATGTTCTTTTTTTTCCATTCATCATCGTTAAAAATTAACTGGTAATATCATACTATATAATATATGCTCTCTATGAGAGACATGCTCTAGACTTTTACATACCACACACACACGTACATTATACAAGAGGACCTGCATCGTTCTTGTTGTTAAAAAGAAAAGAAAAAAACGTACCGTCATTGCAGGTACGCGAAGTTTGTTGTCATTTGTTTTATATTTAATTGTTATGAATTTTCAACGATGGCTTTTTGTATCGAGAAATCAAAAAACAATCGATGGAGACAAACAATGGCGACAACTCGTCGATGGAGAGTCATTTTTGTATTACTGCTTACAAGTAAACAAGCTCACTGTGAGATTAATTATCGTGGAACAAATAACTGAGCTCTCAATCGAACTGTACTTTGTTTATTATATTTTTAAATGGTGAGAGTTTGTTGTTTTAGTTATTTTCATTTTTTGATGTGTTTCAATATTATTTTACAATAGCACGAAATATACAAATGCAGTTACTTAGCACCGATTTTAAACATGACCAACATCGTATAAAATATGTTAATTTATTGTATGCAAGTAAAACAACAAATGTACTTTCACATATTCTTACAATTTTTTTAAGTTTCGATGTATTTCTTGCTATTTTTTTTTTTTTTACTTTGTAAAAATAATTGATTATTAAATTTAAAACATAGACAAAAAATGTAGGATTTTAAAAATTTCGCCAAAGTTTGAGGGCATGCATTTTATACATCACAAAACCTAAAAAATAAGATTTTTGAATTAGCGGCTCATATTGAGTGCTTTATTGTCGTTATCATTTTTTCTGTTACTTATATGACATGAGTTATGTGAATAAACAATATTGTTTATCAAAGTTTGTTTTTATTTTCACTGTTTTTTTTATGTGCCGTTTTGTTTTCGTGTTTATTTTTATTCTCAGTAAATTTGAATGTATCTTCTATAAAAGAAGACATAAATCAATATGTTATCACTTTTGTAACTATTTAATACAAAACATTTCTAGTGAAACTAATACATTATTTCTTACTGAAAACGTAAACAAAAAGATACAATTTTAATTTTTACATGATAAGCTATATTATATAAAACAAAGATTATTACACGTTTTATTGTATAATAGGTTACACTGATACACTGAAGCACGAAACGTAATAAAATAAATGTTAAAGGCACAATTATCTAGTCAGTAAATTCTATCCTTATCCTTCTCTGACGATTATAATACTGAGGTTGTGGAATTAGTGATTAAAAAAAAAAAAAAAATCAAGGCAGAGTCTTGTTTTTTAAACAGAATTTTATTTATAGAACTATTGCAATTTTTTTCTGCAAATGCATTCAAATGCAATACAATGATTTATTTTGACATACATACAGTTTAAGTTTTTATTTTCAGAATTTTAAAATATTTCCAACCCGTATGTCATTATAATTAATGTTGTCTCTTATTTGTGAGTATATATGTATGTGTATACAATTAACCATTCCAAGAACCATTTGATCAAATCACTGTATAAATATTGATCTGCTAAAAATTTTGATGTTCATCCAATATGCAGGGAAAACCAAAATTTCATTTACAAGTCTGAAGAAAAAATATTTTTAAAAACGCAGTTTATACGACAATTTATGATGGACGTTTATAAATCTTTGCTTAGCGTAGCGTTATTATTGTAAATAAGTAAAGTTTTTATTAGCACAAATAGACGAGTGTGCATTTTGTACTAATTAAACTCGAACCTATAGTATTCTTTCATAAAATAACAAGTAAGCCTCGCTACTCAGAACAGTTTTCTCATCTACTTCTGAAACCCTGAAAAACAAAATTTATTTTTCATCTCACATGTGATTTGCGAATACTTTTAGATAAATTTCTCATTTGTTTGGATTTTTTTTTTGTACTACCTTGAATCAGACACGTAATACCAGCGTCCTGGCGGCGGTTCAATTTTTGAAATATCAGCGCCAGAAGCTTCGTCATTTTCCAATTCAGAATTCGACTCGCTAGAGTCGTCTTTATTTTCAAACCCATCTTTAGAAGGCAAAAAAGCCCAACGAGGATCATCAGGCTTTAATGGTGCTCTCGACTAAGATAAACATCATTTTACGTGTATCAATTTATTTCAATTAATTATAAAACTTTTAAAAACAAGCATTACATACCTTGACGTAAGCTACATAGTGTCCTCCGTACATGGTCCCACTATGTTCTACAATGCCGTATAACGAGTATATCCTAGGTTTCAAATAATCTTTGCAAACTGGTGAAAGATCTAATATCATTGGGAAACTGACTTGTTTTCCAACTTTTCGAGAACTAAACTTCTGAACTTGAAACCTTTTCAAGTGCAAGATGAGAACTGCAGGTACACACGAGATGAGATATTGCTTAGTACTATCCGTGCATACCATTTTTACTCCTTTTTTTCCCTGTAAATATTTAAGAGCTCGTTTCAAAAACATTTGTTTACAAAATAGGACTTTCACGGTGGTTATACGCAAACGAGAAAACAAATACCAAATACCTCATTTGGTCTTTGTGTACAAGCTTCGCAGCCTACTTTATTATTTCCATTTAGAAATTCAAGTACAGTGAACTGATTGAGACAGGATTGTATTGAACACTCGCCTTCTTTTACGAGATATCTTCTTGGAGACTCTGTGGGACTTGACAAGTTCAGCTTGGACATGTTTGACGCTATTTCGCCAAAACCATTTGTTAACTTTTTCGTTGTACCGTTTTCTTTGTTGGAAAATAAATTTTCGTCCTTTGAGTCGTTTTTTTTCCTGAAAATGGAGCAAACATTTTTTTATAATAAATAAAATTTAGTTCCAAAAGCATGGATGGAAAGCATTTAGCATACTTAAAAGAGTCTTCTTTATCGCTTGTATCCTGCTTCTCTGAGGTATTATCGAGTGCTTGAACGAGTTTGCCTACTTTTTCAACTTCATCTCCATCTATAGCACTAGAAATGGGACTTGTAGGACTATCCTTGGAAGTTAGTGGACTACTTAACGGACTGATGGTCGGTCCTTCAGGACTAGTGAAATCTGAATGATCAATTAATGACGTCGGAAGACTTAATCCTGCTGTTGTTGCTTCATTATTCTTGTTGTTTGTTAAATCAGTTATCTCAATGTCTGTCGGGCTTGGTAAACAATTGGCATTGGCAATATTTCGATTCCATGACGTAAAATCGTAATTAAGATGTGTAACTGATAAAAAATTGCTACTCTTATCTGTACTGTGGAGCTCTGACAAAGATATGGGACTTGCAAGTTCTGACGGTTTTTCAGAGCTATATCCAGATTCTCCAACCTCTGTTTTTGAAGCATCTTCGTTCTCAATGTTATCTTCGACATCCGCATCACTTTCTTCTACACAAAAAATTATTTATTTATGAAGCAATTACATTATTTCATTCATTTTATTTTACGTTTAAAGTATGTGAAAAGTTGAGATTACCAGACTCATTACCCTTTCTCTCTTCATTTATATGACCGGCATTTTGTGTCGATGTATTATTGACTTTATTTTTTTTTCTCTGAGCCTTATTAACTTTTTTTTCGTGCTTGGGTGTATTAGAAACATTATTGCTCGCAGTTTCAGTAGAATTCTCTAATCCAGTACTTTTTCTTCTATGAAAATATGACATGGTTAATGAACTACACATCGATTGAAAATCATGTTTACAAAAGTGGTAAATCTGATTCTGATGAAAATTCTTACTTATAACTGGTAGGTAAAGATTTATCGATCAATATAGGTAAACTAAGGTCTAAAAATGGTTCAGTCCGAGGTGATGTGTGATTGCACTCTGAACATGTTAAAGTTGAAACTAATTCGCCTCTAAAAACTCGTTCTGGACCCAAAAATTTAGCATTTGCTTGGTTGCCGTAATATTTGACATGTGACCTTATGTTATCATCGATCCTTTTTCGTTTTGATTTTTCATCCAAGCCAGTTTCTTTTAAAATAACCGATTGATATCTCTGTAAAATTTAAATACTACAAAATGTTAAAAAAACTAAAATTTTCGAAATGTATAATTTTTATGTACCTTTAGATCTTCATTACGAACAAATTCTAGTAAATGTCTCAAGAGCTCATGAGAATCATGTTGACCTCCATCGGTACACTGCATAGTCCTTCTTCTTAATGCAGTTAGTAAATCTGCTGGCCTGTAAACCTGACCATTTGAATTTTGCATTTCTACAAGCGTCTTGCGTAAAACTGGTGTGAAGGTAATATTGTTATCTAATGTTCCCTCAATAGGTGCCTAAGAAAATAAATAAATATTAGATAAGTGCAGTGGAATGTACTGTGCTATGGGGTAGAATAATTGCATACTAATTCAACTTCTTCATCATCTGTGACTTTAGATTTACCACCAGGCAGTATAAAATTTTGTCCAGGCACTTGCAAATCGTCTAAGACTTGAATCAAAAAAGGGGTCTGCGCAAGACATTGCAATACCGCATTGAAAAAGCAGGTATTGCCCAAGTTGGATAATCCCTGAAACAAAGAATCAATGAACAAAAAGCATTATTGGAAAATTAAGCCAATGTAACACTTACGCCAACTTTTGGGAGATCTGTTGGAATTTTTTTCCTTTCATTGTCCATAGGTGTCGTTTCATTTTGGCACAAAGGTAATTCCAGCTTTGGCTGAGCTGCACTGCTCCTACTTAATCCCCTTTCAATAAGGCCTTTCACTTCGGCGAGCTTTTTTCTTTGTCTGGTACATCTACAAGAAGAAAATACAAGATACGTTCACTCATAAGACACATTTAAAGAGCATATGAATGCATGTAAATCAAGATTTTAAAAAATTCACTCATATTCATACTTTGTATTACTGACGTAATCTTCATCACATTTATAGCACCAGACACTCCATTGTTGAGTGTCTACTACAACGTAATGCATACCAGTTCTGGATGCTTCAAAATGCTTGGATGCATGATTCTTATGATCTCTTCCACACGCAATATTTCCACATTGCAAGCAGACCCACAGTCGGGGAGGCTGCGGGACAATCTTTAAGAATTTTGTAAATTATAAAACCCCAAAAATACCATTTGAATAATAATAGCATTGATGTTACCTCATCGTCGCTGTCCAAATCTTCAGGAGCGACAGTAGCAGTCCCATCTACCTGACAGTCTGTACACGCGTTATTGAATGATTTGGATACAGTCTTTCTCAATCTGTTCAAGTCGATGCTCTTTATGAAATGTTGACACTTTGGCTCCTCTGCAAAATGCAACGATATTGATTCATCAGAAGTAAAAAAAAAAAAAAAATAGCAGAAGCAGAAGTATTGGTACTTATACATGTATTAATTTATGGAAACAACAATTATAAAAGTTATTTGCTGCTGGTTATTAATCAATTACTTTTTAATACGAAGCTAAATGAAAAAAAAAAAAAAAAAATTAGAATGCAGCACACGTGAAAATATAAGAAGGAGAAAGAAAGAGAGCGTGCTAAAGATATCCTCACCATTGCTGCCGTCCCCGGACTCAGTGGACTCCTCGCAATTGTCGTCGTTGTCGACGACGCTGTTCTCCACTGGAGACCTGCGCTTCCTACGACTCATTATCACGATGAATGCCGAAAGGCCTAAAACAACGACGATGACCGCGACAATCAGGACGGCAACGAGGGGCAATGGGGATTGGGCCGAAAAATCCACTGCTCTTGCACCAGAAACAGTAGGTACAGCACAACTCTTGATGTCACGCAAGAGAAACAGACACTGCAGGCAGACGAACGGATGGACCCAGTCGATTCAACAGCGAAGGAAGGAAAAAAAAAAGACTGGCTCCCCGCGCAACTCTCTATAGAGAGTATTAGGTATACTCTCTTGCTTGATTGATTGTCTAGAATTTTACACTAATTGTTTGATCGAACAGAGATATTACTCACATTTTCGAAAACGAGATTCCTTCTATTCATTCAATAAGTATTACTTAGTAGGTACTACAGTATAATAATATAGAGCTACGGGGACCCAAACCCAAAGCCAAAAGGACTCCACTCCAGAGTATAAGTAATAAAGAAAGTTATAAAGAACATACCTATAGGTATAAATATATGCACGTATAATTATAGCATTAACGCCATTATACCCTTGCCTAAAATGTATTTTTATTGCCAGTGCCCAGTTATGGATCGACAAATTTGTACTATAATATATCGCTATATCGTATATATGTGTATGTACGTATGTGTATGCATGCATATAAATACGATGAGTGATCGGTAATGTATGTTTACATACCTACTTACGGCTGGTATCATCGGTGGCGATATTTTTCATGGGGTGTTTTCCGCAATCGTCACCAGCAAGTAATTTAAGGTTGCACTCTACGCTACCATCAGGTCGGTAAGTCAACTACCTTGAATTAACTGGCGCTCTGTTCCGTAATCTGGCCAGTTAAAATAGCAGACGACAGTCAACAGCGATGAAATCTTCTCTTTTTTCTCGACTTTCACGTCGTCTGCTGTTTTAACTGCGCAGTTAAGGCCATGGCCAGATTACCGCGGAATATATATAGCGCCAGTTTAATTCAAGGTAGTTGACCTCGGTTGACTTACTGACCTAACGGTAACGTAGAGCGCAAATTTAAATTACTTGCTGGTGACGACGATTGCGGAAAACACCCATGATATTTTTCTTACCTACCTAAGGTAATTGACTTATCCGGTTCATACCATAAGATGATAAGAAGGGAAAGAGCGCGCGGTCACACGTCAGCTGGATTGACGTCATCACTCGGTCAGCGACGTCATCTGGTCGTCTATATATACGTGTAAGTGTAAGTGATGTCACATCACTGAAGTGTCAAAAGTGTCAAAAGTGACTCCAAAACTCCCGATAGCCATTTTGTATCCTTATACCGTATTCCATCGTAAATAGTCGATTATTTATTCTGTTACTTGCGGTTTCACGTGTGAAAAAGTAATTTAATTGGCATCAACAATGACTAGAAAAGGTAATTATACGATATGATCACTTTTTACTATTATTCTTCACCAATTTAATGACGTTTCATGCATACTCGAAAGTACTGCGTAAATTTACTGCTCTGGAGGCAATAATTGCATCATCTTTCACATTTGAGTTGTGATTGTTTCAATGTTCTGTACACATCTAAATTCTCCATGATTGATCCCGATGTTAAATTTCGTAAACTTACGATCATAAATGGCTTGACTTGTATACTTAAAATATATTTTCTAAAAGGTGGAAAAAAAAAGAAGGAAGAAGAAGGGGGTCCCTCTGCTGATTCTTCTACTCAAAGTGGGTCTAGCTCACAACCACAACCGCAAGCCAAAGCATCATCAAGTTTGTCCTCCCAGCCCCCTCAACAAGCAGCTCAACAGCCCCAGCAGCAAAGACAAAATGTTAAACCAGGCAGAGGCAGAGGTCAACAAAGATTCCAATCTCAGCCATCTCAAGTCCCTCAAGATCAAAGCCAATGGCCTGGTCCTCCTGGTAGTAGAACTCAATCGGCGCCTCAACAAGTTGCTCCTGCACAAGCATCAGCCCAGCCTCAACAGTCAGCATGGGGACGGCCAAGCCAGCCTTTGGAACAGTCAGCTCAAACCCAGCAGTCGTTCTGGGGTCAACAAAAGCAACAACAGCGGCAACCCCAGCAGCAACAACAGTGGCAACCACAGCAACAACCTCAGCAGCAGCAGCAACAGCGGCAACCCCAGCAGCAACAACAACCACAGCCGCAGCAACAACAGCGGCAACCCCAGCAGCAACAACAGTGGCAACCACAGCAACAACCACAGCAGCAGCAGCAACAGCGGCAACCCCAGCAACAGCAACAACAACGACAACCAAAACAGTCTCAGCAGCAGCAACAACAACAACAACCAGTAACTTCTTCTCAAGAAATCTCAAGACAAGTATTAAAATAATAATTTACTTAATATTCTAGCAATAAGTAATGGTTTCTCATACCTAATTTTTTCTTTATAAAGAGTTCAGATGTACAAGCAGCTACTAAACAACTTGCTAAAATGACAGTCAAGGTAAATAGTTTAAGTTTTTTAATTTATACATTATTAAGCTTAGCTTTTTTTTTGGTATAATTATGTAACAATTAGTCTTCATCAATTATAAATAATCATCTTTCTTTGTCTATCTAAAAATATAGTCTTTAAGTTAATCATTGGCATACATTTCACAGGCATTATCTCCCACTAACACAACTGCTCAAACAAGAAAAGAATATGATGCTTGGTATGAGAAAATTCCCAAGCGCGTAAATCCCCTGAAAGCTGGAACACTGGGGCGGCCAATTCAAGTCATCACAAATATGATGGCTGTAAACTTTGGAAAAAATTTCAAATCAAACGTTATCCATTACGATGTGGATATACAACCGAATGTCCCAAAGTATTTAATGAGACCTGTTTTTGATAAAGTTAGACAACAACATTTTTCAAATAGATTTCCAGCATTTGATGGAAGAAAAAATGCCTACTCTGCTGGAAAGTTGCCTTTTGGTGATGCATCGGTAATTGAGAAAGAGATTAAAAAAATTTTTTTTACACAGTACTTTTGGTATAAATTCATAATTTTTTTTAGCCTACTTATGAAGTAAAAATTCCGAATGAAGATGGAAGAGAAAAAGAATTTAAAGTTACATTGAAAATTGCCAATGTACTTGACTTGTCATGGCTTAAAAATGTAAGACCAGGCTTACATGATGATGAAAAAAGTCAAAGTGCCATTCAAGCATTGGACATTATATTACGCAGTGCACCAGCACTGCAAGCTACAGCTGTAGGTTCAGTATATGATAATCTTATTTAAATTAACAAGAAATTTTTAACTACTCTTTGATTATTTCATTAGGTCGGGCGCTCATTTTTTCCTCCACCTGTTCAAATACCACATAGTCTTGGTGGTGGCATGGATTTATGGGTTGGTCTTTTCCAATCTGCTGTACTGGGATGGAAACCTTTTTTAAATGTTGATGGTTAGTGATATTTTCAAAGAGATCATGTCAAAATTATAAAATTAATTATTGTTAGTTTCTTAACAACTTTTTGTTGTAACCATTATCAGTTTCTTTAAACATTTTTATTAATGGCATGCAGTACTAAAAGTTGAATTTATTTTCAGTGTCGCATAAAGGTTTTCCAAAATCTCAAAATGTTATTGATTTGATGAAAACCATTTGTGGCGTTGGTGATGAAGGTAGCGGTGGTGGTGGTGGTTATCAAGGGGGAAGAGGTGGCTTTCAAGGTGGAAGAGGTGGAAGAGGTGGTGGCAGAGGTGGTAGAGGTGGATATCAAGGAGGCCAGGGATATCAAGGAGGCCAAGGTCAGGGTAGTGGTGAATTAACGGCAGACTTAGTACACCGGTACAAAGACGATATCGTAAAATTTTTAAAAGGCCTAAAAGTCTCGATTCAAATTCCTGGACAGTCTAAAAGGACTCAACGAGTAAATGATCTCGTTAGATGTCCAAAAGAAAATATTTTTGAGCATAATGGTGTGAAAATTACTGTGCAAAAATATTACGCTCTTGAAAAAAAATATACAATTCGGTATCCCGATTTGCCATGCCTATGGGTTGGTGCAAGAGACAAACATATTTATGTTCCGCCAGAAGTAAGTTTTTACTAAAGATTAGGATCAAGTAGTACTGCATGTGTAACTGTAATAATTAAATTCAAATTTCTAGATATGTACGATTGTTGCGGGTCAAGCCACACAGAAGAAACTTGATGAAAATCAGACATCCAATATGATTCGTGCTGCAGCAACTGATACTGATCGTAGAAAACAAAAAATTATGAATGCGGTAAGTAATATGAAAATACTATTCGAATCCAAATAAAACAACTCTTCTAAAATACTATTCAAATCCAAATAAAACAACTCTTCTATTAAAAATTTGTAGTATACACCTATGCAACACAACCAAAATCCCAGCATGAAAGAATTCGATATTTCTATTAGTGGAGAGTTTGAAAAAGTTCAAGCTCGAGTATTAGATCCTCCCTCAATACAGTATGGAAACATTGCTAGAGTTGCCAAAGGCGTGTGGCGCGCAAACCGGTTTAAAGAACCTACAAAGAAAATAGGAGATGACAACTCGTGGACTATTTTAAATCTTGATTACAGAACGAGAGATGATGCTCTCCATAATTTGCAAACACAATTGATAAGATTGGGTAAATATTCTCTTCAAATTTTTTATTTTGATTCATTATAATTATTAACACCAAGAATTGGTTTGTTATATTAGGCCAATCATTAGGGATTGGAGTAGGTAAGGCCAAAACCCCTTTCGAAAGTTTGCAGTGGAGAGGTAATGACACCAGACCCTTACAAGAATTCTTTAAAAGGAACAAAGGTTTGAAATTAGTTGTTGTTGTCATTCCTGATACAAAAGGGTATTACAGTAAGTAAACAGCAATACCAGAAATCAACATATCATACTTACAGAGTGTAATTATTTTAATTTTTATAAACAAAAATTTTAACATTTCAGGTAGAGTTAAACAAATTTCGGAAGTCTCTGTTGGCGTTCTTACGCAATGCTTGAAAGGTAAAACCATTTTTGGGCCAAAGTTCAATGATGCGACTGTTGGAAATATATTACTAAAAATAAATGCAAAATTAAATGGTGTTAACCATTCGTTGGCAGAACCAAGCTGGTAAAGCATCATGAGCAAATACAATAAGACACCGTTGGATTATTACAATTTCGTTAATTTTCATAAAGCTTATTTTTTTCACAGTTTACCATTCATCAAAGCTCTTAGTCTTCATTACATGATAGTGGGTGCTGATGTGACACATCCATCTCCTGATGCCAATGATATTCCATCTATAGCTGCAGTAAGAAATTTTAAACTGCCTTATTTTTTGCAAATTTATCATTTTTTTTTTTATTTTTTCTACGAAAAAACGCCAGGATTCCAAGTGGTGTGCAAAAAAAAAAATAACGAATATGTCGCTGTTATATTATATACGCGATTTATCTGGATAAAAATATCTTTCTTCTTGTGAATTTTTCATTTCTTAATGATTCCTTCATAAAGTCAATCTTGTAATTAACATTAAAAATTATTAATGAATATCCACTAGCCTTAGATGAAGGATTCATAAACATGAGTGTAATGCATTCCAGTTTTATTGCTTACTATAATTTTTAATTTATCTTAAAGGTGGCTTCTAGTCACGATCTAGCAGCGTTCAAGTACAACATTGAAATAAGACTACAACCGCCACGAGAAGAAATAATTTTAGATTTGACGGAAATTATAAAGAATCAGTTATTGTATTTTTACGCATGCAATGGAAGTCGGAAGCCTTCGAAATTGTTTTACTTCAGGTAAAAAATTATGGATTTTAAGATTTATCAATATACGAAAATTTTCAAAGATCACGTTGTAGATGTCCTTGTCATATCATCTTAACTGTCATAAATGAGTTTCTATTATTTTTGTTTACAGAGATGGAGTAAGTGAAGGCCAGTTTGGTCAAGTATTGGCAAGAGAATTGACCGCTATTCAAAGAGCTTGTAAACTTTTGGAAAAAGGTTATGAACCACAAATTACATTTTTAGTAGTTCAGAAAAGACATCATATAAGATTATTTCCGGCTGATCCCAGAAATAGTGATGATCGAAATAATAATGTTCAAGCTGGAACGATTGTGGATACTCAGATAACACATCCTTCACACATTGACTTTTACTTAGTATCGCATGCCAGCATTCAAGTGAGTTTTTTTTTGTTTAGTAAGTATTTCATAAATAGTAAATTAACTGCAGATGGATGAAAAAAAAATTTTTTTCTTAGGGTACTGCCAGACCTACGAAATATAGATGCTTGTGGGATGATTCAAATATGACAGAGGATCAAATAGAACAGCTTACTTACTTCTTGTGTCACATGTTTTCACGTTGTACAAGATCTGTGAGCTACCCCACTCCAACGTATTACGCTCATCTTGCTGCTTTCCGAGCAAGAGCTCTAACTCAAGAGTGAGCTTGAATTTTCTTACAATTTCTAATAAAATAGAAAATTATGGACCATAATGTATTTTTTAATAATTACTTTCATTTTAGCATAAACATCGATTTAAGTAAGCTGGATCGAGAACAGGATAAAGTAAGAATCCAACCAAACATTATAAATGATTCACCAATGTTTTTCGTATAAAAGTAACTTGAATAAAAAAAATAAAAAAAAACAGTTATTCTATAAAAGTGTCTGTGCAGCGAAAATGTTGTACGACGCAACANTTGGAATTTTCCATCTCATTTAAAAATTTATAATATTTACTTATATATACCAATGTGTTTTATGTATTTTTCAATTGATGAAGATTTTTAATAAATGAGATTTTTTTTCAATCACGATTTTTTGCTATACCGAAAACCTACCCGAAATGTTTAATGAAATTTTTAAATAAAGTAAAAAAAAAGTCTTGTTTATTTTGCATGTAATACAACTGAGTGACTTATAAGATTCGAGTTACCAATACATCGTTTATCACCTCTAGCGTATGAAAATAAACAACTTACAAGAACACATTAAACGTAATGTAGATATGTGTAACATCATTTTCAGTAAACTTGTACTCCTTAGATAAAGTAGATAAATAATCAATAACAATCACTTCATATAGTCCATCGCGATTTTGTTCTTTACTTGTTAAATTGGCTCTTATGTAGGTATTACACTAATTTTTATCGTCTTCTATGAACACCAGTTACTTATATCCATTTTAATCAATGAACGATCGATTGTACACTTATCGCAAAATTTTGACTAATATTCAAGCGCTCTTGTTTCAGACAGCAGTAGATAAGCAAAGTCATAAACTAATTATTAATTATACGAATGTCAGTAAAACGAATTTAAATAAAAAAATATACTACAAGTACTGCAAGATGCCGATTGTCACTTGCAAAATTACTCATGAATTTTTACCACTATCGATCCGACGCATGTAGAACAATTATATGATGCATTTTGATAAAAACCAGAAAAAACACATTATGTATTTACTATCTATAAGTATTCAGTTCACCATAAAAAAATCAAATCAATTTTATAAAGCCGTTGTATCGCATTAAAAATAAGCTTTTAATTTATTTATCGGTAAAAATTGATTATTAGTAATTGAGACATCAATTATTTGCGTAAAAATATCATGAATGTCTCGTATACCAATAATACAACAATGTGTCAAAAGAATCCATATATTAAATGGATGTATACGTATGTATCTTTTTCGATTTACTTGATTCCCCATTTCACATTGCATATTATATTAAAAAAAAAAAAAAAAAAAAAAAAAAAAATACAAACACTTTTAATATTAGTTATAAAAATCTCAAAATCAAACGCCATTTGATCACTTATAATTTACCTATAAAACACAAAAAACCTTTACTTTTAGTTGAACAAATTCACAACACTCATCGAGAGATTTTGGATAAAATGGCCCAGTCATTTTCTTCATTTATGTCATTCAAGTACTTAACTTTACAGTATAGTCAAATTTGATTTTTTTCAACAGTTTTTTCGACACTTGTACAACAATAAGTAAAATGAGGCGTAAATTTTAAGGCACATCCACCCCCTATATAGGTATATATGTACACATACATATACATAGTACGGAGTATATACACATGGACATATCATAATATATAGGTATATATACGCAGTTGTTAACAGACAAACTTATGAAAAGACAACGTCGTACTTGGTGATATGGTAGTGGCGTGCGTAAAATTATTCAACCTACGCGTATACCCGCGTAATTGAACCATATTACAATAAAAAAAAAAAAAATTGGTGAGTGCTTCTTCATATGTATTTTGTGTCGATGTGTGTAAGCATATAATACACTCTCTGCATGCTGATGATGTGTGTGATGTGTGCAATCGGTGCTCATTTTTGGAGCACTGAATAAGCCACTGATGCTCGAACAACCTAATCTATATATCATCAATTGTGGAATAATAATTGCATAAAGAGGATGGCTTGAAAATATATATTTTGACAGCGTTCAGGCACTTGATCGAGTATCCATATGTACCAATCAATGTTAAAACAATATAAATATTATTTATCATCTACCGACTGATCGATACATATGTATATATATATAATTTAATGTAATCGTCCTATTGTAGTTGACAGTGAAACGTTTACGATAAATCGATCCTATGGTTTATAGATTGATACTCATCAATGATTAATGTTTCTCATATCTTTTCGTCGATATTACTATTTTTTTTTTTTTTTTTTTTTTTTTTTTTTTTTTTTTTTTTTTTTTTTTTTTTTTTTTTTTTTTTTTTTTTTTTTTTTTTTTTTT